AGGAGGGTTCACCTGACAAGTGTGGGGTCTAAATCCCAACCTAGGCTCTCCAGACTACAGCACCAGAGTTGGAAAGGAACCCAGATAACATCCAGCTGCCAAAGCAGCATGGTTTCTATCTGCCATGGAGAGAAGGCTGGATACTCGGAGAACCTATAAAAGGGCCAACACACAAAATTTCACTTGCAGCCACTTCTCTGGGCTCCAGCAGAGGGAAGGCAGAGTAGGCTAGAGACATTTGAGAAGAGGATTGGTTGGTGGCTCTGGGGAGGGAACTGAAAGAACAGCCACCAGGATCCCTGTGCTGAAGTATTCTGTACTGAAGAGGCCACCTTTTTCAGGCAGAGCACTCCTCTCTGAATGGCATCAGCCTGAGAGAAAGCAATAACCTGCCAGCAAAATTACTTTGCCCCACCCTGTGAAGTTTAGGCCAAGCTACTGATTACAGCTTGAGGCTATATCATTGATTATCTTAACAACTTCAGCAGATCTCTGGGAGCTGTATAAGACTTCAGCTGACCCTCACTCGGGTGGGTGCTGGTAATAGTTGGTCTTGGTGCACAGTGTGGTTCCTTTTGTATACAAACAGGCCTAGCAAAAGAGCTACACACTATGGATCACTGATACCTTCAAACAGGTTGACCAGGGCCAGTCATAAGCAGCACCTGACAAAGGCCTACACCAGAGTTTTTGCAGATCTACCAAATACATAGAAACAAATAAAAGAAGCAGCCAAAATTAGAAAACAAATAAACAGACCCAAATGAAAGAACAAGAGGATTCTCCAGAAGAAGAGCTAGATAAAAATGGAAGCAAGCAATTTATCAGATAGAGTTTAGAGTAATGATTATAAGGATACTCAACAGAATAGAAAAAATGACATAGAAACCATAAAAAGGAACAGTCAGAAATAAAGAATGCAATGTATGAAATTGTTAATACATTGAAAGGAATAAACAGTAAGTTAGATGAAGCAGAGGATCAAATCAGTGATTTGGAAGACAAGGCAGAAAAAATTGAGGCAAAGAAGCACAAAGAAAAAAGGAATTTTTTAAATGAGGAGAGCTCAAGAAACACTTTAGACAACATGAAGCGTAACAACATCCACATCATAGGAATACTGGGAGGAGAGGAGAGCAAGCAAGGAATCAACAAACTATTTGAAGAAATAATAACCAAAAACTTCCCTAATCTGGTAAAGGAAAAAGACAAACAAGTCCAGGAAGCTCAAAAAGTCCCAAACATTTGTATCCAAAAAGGCCTACACTAAGGCACATCATAACTAAAATCGCAAGACTTAAAGACAAGGAGAAAATCCTAAAAGCCATGAGAGACAAACAGGTAGTTACATACAAAGCATCACCAATTGGACTGTCATCTGACTATTCATTAGAAACATTTCTGCCAAAAGGGAGTGGCGTAAAATCTTCAAAGTAATGAAAGCAAGGACCTACTCTAAGGCTACTCTACTCAGGAAAGATATCATTTAAAATTGAAGGAAAAATAAGGAGCTTCCCAGACTAGAAAAATGTAAAGGAGCTTGTTAACACCAAATCAGTACTGCAACAAATGTTAAAGGTCTTGCTTTAACATGAAGAAGAAGAAGGAAAAAAAAAAGAAAAACAGTCTAACAATAAAATGGCACTAAGTACATGTGTATTAATAATCACCTTACATGTAAATGGCTTAAATGCTCCAACCAAAAGATATAAGATAGCAAAATGGATAAGAAAATATATATACTGCCTCCAAGACACACGTTGTAGATCAAAAGATACATGCAGATTAAAAGTAAAGGGGTAGAAAAAGATATTTCATACAAATGGGAAGGAAAAAAAGCTGGGGTAACTGTACTTATATTCAACAAAATAGACTTTCAAACCAAGGTTATGTATAGCAAGAGACAAAGAAGGACACCACATAATAATAAATGGAACAATCCAACAAGAGAATATAACCCTAGTAAATATTTGCATACCTAATATAGGAGCACCTAAATATGTGAAGCAAATCTTGATGGACATAAAGGGAAAGATCAACAGAAATACAGTATAGTTGGGGATTTTAACATGCCATTGACTTCAATGGGTAGATATTTCATACAGAAAATTAACAGGGAGACAACAGCCTTAAATGAAACATGAGATCAAATGTACTTATTGATATCTTCAGAGCATTTCATCCTCAAACAGCAGAATATACAAGTGCACATAAAAGGTTTTCTAGGGTAGCCACATGTTACAACACAAAACCAGTCTCAGTAAATTTAAGATGATTGAAATCATGTCAAGCATCTTCTCTGAACACAATGTGATGCAACTAGAAATCAATCACAAGAATAACACTGAAAAACACACAAAAACATGGAAGCTAAATAATATGTTATTTAACAATGAATGGGTCAAAAACAAGACCAAGCAAAAAATCAAAAGATACTTTGAAACAAATGAAAAGGAGAACACAACAGTCCAAAATTTCTGGCATATTGGTAAAGCAGTCCTAAAAGGGAAATTCATATCATTACAGGCTTATCTCAAAAAACAACAAGTAGCTAAAATAAACAATCTAACTTTACACTTAATGGAACTTGAAAAAGAACAACAAACAAAGCCCAAAGTGAGTAGAAGGAAGGAAATAATAAAAATCAGAGTAGAAATAAATGAAATAGAGTCTTAAAAACTGATACAAAAATCCGTGAATCAAAAGCTGCTTCTTTGAAAAGATAAACAAGATTAACAAACCTTTAACCAGACTCATCAAGAAAAAAGGAGAGACAACCCAAATAAATAAAATCAGAAATTAAAAAGGCAAAATAACAACTGACACCAAAGAAATACAAATGATTTTAAGAAAATGTTATGAATAATTATATGCCAATAAATGAACAACCTGGACAAAATAGATAAATTACTAAAAACATATAATCTTTCAAAACTGAATCGGACAAATCAGAGAATCTGAATAGACAGATTACACCTAGTGAAATTGAAGCAATGCAATATTGAAAGAGAAGGACAAAGAAAGAAGATTCACACTTCCTTATTTTAAAACTTCCTATAAAACTATAGGTAGTCAAAACAGTATGGCACTGGCAAGAGTAGATGTATAGATCAATAGAGTAGAATTGAGGGTTCAGAAGTAAAACGATGCATCTATAGTCAACTACTTTTCAACAAGAAGCCAAGAATGTCCAATAAGGAAAGAATAGTCTTTTCAACAAATGGTTCTAGGACAGCTGAATATCTACATACAAAAGAAGGAAGTTGGGCCCCTGACTTAAGCAATATACTAAAATTTACTTCCAATAGATCCTAGAGTTAAATATAAGAGCCAACATGATAAAACTCTTAGGAAGAAACATGTGTAAATCTTTGTGACTTTAGGCAATAATTTATTAAATATGACATGAAATACAAACAGCCAAAGAAAAAATTGATATATGTTACTTTATCAAAATTAAAAATGTTTGTGCATCAAAGAACAATATCAATAGAGAAAAACAAACCATATAATGAGAGAGTATTTAAAAACCATTTATCTAATATGCATCTAGGACCCAGAACATATAAAAAACTCTTACAACTCAACAATAAGAAGACAACTGAATTAAAATATGGTGAAAGAATTGAACAGAAACCTCTCTAAATAATATATACAAATGGCCAATAAGCTCATAAAATATGCTAAACATAATTAATAAAAGAGACACAAAATCAAAACCACTTCATTTCTACTAGATTTGGTGTAATGAAACAAATAAAATAACAGGGAATGGCAAGTGTTGGCAAAAAACGTGGACAAAGTAGAAACCTCATAACATTGCTGGTGTCAATGTAAAAATCTGCAGCTGCTGTGGAAAACAGTTTAGCAGTTCCTCAAAATTTTAAACAAGAGTTTCCATATGACCTAGAAATTCCACTTCCATTTATATACCCAAAAGAATTGAAGATGTATATTCACACAAAAAAACTTACTCAGCTCTTCATAGCAGAGTTATTTATTATAGCCAAAGAGTGAAAACAAACCAAATGGTTTAGCAATTGATGAATAAACAAAATATGGTACAGTCATACAACGAAATAGTTGTCACTCATATGAAGTACTGATACATGCCACAACATAGATGGACCTTGAAAATATAATGGTAAGTGAAAGAAATCAGACACAGTAGGCCACAATGTGGTATTGTGCTATTTATTTATATGAAATATCCAGAGAGACAAATCCATAGAGACAGAAAATAGGTTACTGGTTGTCAGGGGCTGACAGAGGAAGGAACTGGGAGTAAGCACATTTGTTTTGGAGGCAATGAAATGTTCAATACTTAGATAGCGATGATGGTTGTATCACACCATGAATATACTAAAATAACTTAATTGTACACTTTAACATGGCGACTTTTATGTTATGTAAATTATATTTAAATTAAAAATTGCTAAACATGTGCCAGCTATGGGAAAAGTTGTCTTTTTTTCCAGACTCAATGTTTTAAGGGGAGTGGGAGGAGGAGAAGGGGGGAGAAGGTACAGAAAATAAGTAGCATAGACAGTAGATAGAAAATAGTTGGGGGGGCAAGAATAGTATGGGAAATATAGAATCTAAAGAACTTGAGACACATGGTCATAAACTAAAGGGGGGTAATGGTGGGGATGGGGGGTAGGATGGAGAGGAATGAAGGGGGGAAATAGAACAACTGTAATGGCATAATCAATAAAAATAAATAAATTAAAAGGAAAAATTCACTTCCTGCAGACCTTATTCTATCATCATCAGGTTTTTCTTTCACTGTTTTATTTCACACTTTGAAAGAACCAGGAACTTTAAAAGGAAATTACTCTCTTTTCTTCCCTTGGAAAGCAAGTATGCAGCCTTGAGGGTAATGAGGCAATCACTGAGAGCAATTACCCTTTCAGGGAATCTGAGCCCAACTCTGAACTCTATTTTGAAGCCTAAGGGTGGGGCTTTGCAAATAGCAGCCATATAAAAGTCTGGTAAATGCGGGAGATATCAAAGATCTGGCTGAAGGGAGGCATAATAGTCTTCGAGTTTTGCCCCTCACTATGGGGAAAGGCAGACTTCCTCACTCAAGTTTCATGCTACTTCTCCTTGTCCTGTTTTCTACCAATGGCTTAAACTCTGCAGAACTGTAAGTCTCACTCAAAGTCCTTTCCTCAATGGTCTGTTCTTTATTTTAATCTCTCGTTTATATCTTTGCTTTCTTTTTCCTATTAAATGCTATTTTTTTCATTTCTTAAGATACCTTCTAATTATAAGAAATTAATTATAAATGGTTAATACATTTTTCCATTTATTTATTTCATACTCTTAAAATAATAGTCATCAACACAGTAAGTCAACACTAAGAAGCATGTTTTCGTTATAAACTGAAACCTCAGACTGCACATTCACAGACCCATCTTTTTGGATAGAAAGCATTGACTATAAAAATATTTAAAGTGTATAGTGGGGTGCAGTTTAACTCACATTGTAGATCACATGCATAGAAAAATACAGCTCCTTCATTTTTCAATAATTTATTGAGTCTTTATCAAGAGCCTTCAGTAAATAGTCAATGCAGGGGAAAAGTAATTTTAACCTTACTTAGTTATAAAGTTGGTGAAATCCAAAAACTAAGACTTCTCTTCCACTTGTCTCCAATTTCTCTCCAAGGAATGTGATCTTCATTAATTACTGATCGAGAAGAGGGGTCAGGGTCCTTTGTCGCAGAGTTCTCTGTCTTCTTGGCCACTGTCAATCTGGCTTCTCCTTGTCTGCTAACATTTATCATTTGAATCTTTAACCATCTAGTTTGTCTCAGTTTGGTCCCTTTGCCAAGGAGTGCCAGAAGTTCTCTCTAGCTGATTTTGACTCACATTAGCTCTTTCTCGTCACATAGAACTACCAACTCTCTACATCATTCTGCCTCCAATTTTATGGCAGTTGTTCCAACACAGCCTATGCTGTACAATCACCTTTGCCAGTCACCCATTTGAGACCTCTGACCTCAACCCAGCTGCCTTTACATTTCTTCTGGAGGGCTGCGCAATTCTTGAATCCAACAGCAACATGTAGGCACTAAAGTATCCAGGAAAGATTAAACTTCTACGCCTCCCTTGCCTACCCACACTGTACTCCTAGATGACTCTGATGTAGCTACATCCCTGATTGATACAGGGTAGACTCAAGTATACCAAAATGGGGAGAGAAGTAAAGAGACCTTCTGTTCAGTGTGTTACCTTTATCCACTTATCACAGTTAGTCCTCTCCAGGTCAAAGTACAGGAAGCAGAAATCAGAACTCTGACCAACTGAAGTTCTTTCATCCCTCAGGCTTTGTCAGTGCACAATTACTTAGTAACCAGAAGGAGCACGTTTCTCTTTCATAATTCTTCTACCTCATCTACAAGTGTGGATGGTTCCATCTTCCATTGATTCCACACACAGAGCACTTGGAAATATGTAGGGGCTGTTTAGTTTTCTGAGTACAGGCTGAATAGAAGGAGCAGGTGGCGTGTGGGGGAGTCTGGAAGTTAAGCAGTCTGGGTTTTCAGTCCAACACAACAGGGAACTACTCTGCCCATTGAAAACCATTACTTTACATCTTTCTCACCATTTAACCAAGACTGAGCCCTGTGGCCTAGTTGTCAGCATGTGGAAAACCTCACCTTAACCCTCCAGCATTAGCCCTTTGATGTGATAAATGAGAGCTATTGCCTAGAGATGGACTTCTCCCCTCCCTTCTGTCAGTAACTTCAGAGAGATAGAGGGTACAGCAAAACATGATGAAAAAAGAAAACTAAAAGTGATCAGTTTAATATCTGCAGAGTTTAATCACCCCTGCAAAGGCAAATAGTTAAAATTCAAACATTTGTGATTAAGTAATACTTTAAAAGATTTGCTCAGTTCAAGTGAAACCTTAGGCAAATGATTCAACCTTGATAAGTCCCAATTTCAATATTTGTAGAATTAATACGAACCGAACCTTTGTGAAATAGTTGTCTGAAATATCAAACATATGTGAGATAAATTTTTTAACTGCGATCTCAATTGGGCTAATAAAAATAAAAGTAGCATGTGAAATAAAATTATAATACACTAATGATTTCTTTTTTATTAATATCAAAGAAATAAAAGGGGGAAGGAGATGGGGAGGTTAAACAGTAATTATTATTTTATAGAGCCTATAATTAATACTAATCTGCAGACTTAAAAATTGCTAAGAGGATAGATCTTATGCTATGTCCTTATTACAATAATAACAATAATAGTTGAAGAGGGGGAACTTTTGGAAATGATAGATATGTTTCTAGCAAAGATTGTACTGATGATTTCACAGGCGTGTATACTTAACTACATATTAGTCAAGTAGTACACACTATGTTCAACTTTTTATGTGTCAATCATACCTCAGTAAAGTGATTTTAAAATATGTAGAGAAAATAACTCTTTGGAAATGAAGGGTTAAGGTAGCCATAACTTTGGTCTATATGTCTCTTATGTAAGCAGAGTCCAGAGAATAATATTACAATGCAGTTTGGGGAGATGGAGGAGATACAGCAATAGGCCAGTGTGTAAGCCACTCAGGTAAAAACTGGTGATCATCTATTTCCTAAATATGGTCAGGAGTTACTAACAAATGAGGAGTTTAATTAGGAGTTTGAGGGAAATAGAAAAACTTGCAGAGAAATATCTTAAAGTAATCATCCTAGAAGTTTGACCCTAGTTTGTTCTTCCTGAGTTGGATGGAAAGAGCTCAGGACACAATTCAGAATAGGAGAAAGGTGTATAGAAATGGACACTAGAACTGCCTACTCCCATATTATTGTTTTTACCATTGTCAATGCAGTAAGGCTTGTAGAAGGCTGTTGTTGTTGGAAAAATTAAAAATTTATTATTTATCACATCTTAGGAAGAGCAGATGTTCAGTTGATCAGAAATATTCAAATGCAAGAAAGGGATTCAGTGACAGGTGCTATCTGAATGGCCTTGGGTAGTTTATTTAACTGCTCCGAATCTCTCTGCTTTAGAACAAAACGTTAGTATTTATGCAATAAGCGATCTGAGGTTTTAATGATTTAAGAGTGGCTCTAAAGATTCATGGCATACAATTTTGCCAAGGAACAATTTAAAACATATACAGAAAGACCGCTGGACCAGACTATATGCAGACTATACTTGACTTCCAGATTCAACAAGCAAACGGTCTTCGTTATTCTCTCCTCCTAGTCTCACTCCTATTAACTTTGTAAAGTACTAAAATTGTGTTTCACATTGGCGATAGAAAGGAAAGGACAATAAAATAATAGAAAATAGTTATCTTAATTGCAAAGAGACTCTAAATAAATGGCTTAAACCTAAATCAATAGAGTTTTGAAGATTCACATTTTATGTATAATATACTGATTTAGTGAAGGGGCAGAGATGTTATCTCAATGTAATATGTATTCAAACATGGGAATTAATGAGTATTACATGTTTTAGCTCTCATAAACATGAGAATATATTGCATGTACCTTATAGGATTGTTGAGAGAATTAAATGGCTTAATACAGAGACCGGTTAACACAGTTCTTGGCAAGCAGCAAATACTTAGGAAACACAGATTCTCTTTCAGCCAATGGAGGTTCAGAGTACAGAGAGATTATATGGAGCCAAATGCTGCAGGAAAAGCATCACTGAAAATGGATCCTGAAGAATGGATGAAACTGTGACAGGGAAATATGAGTATGTCATAGACAAAAGAAACTCATCAATGAAGTCAGGACGAAAAGGCAAAGCTCACACAAAAAACTTCTCACATCTCTGAATAATTAAATACATTCGAGAATTTAAATAAGATTTTGCAAAATAATATAGATTACAAGAACTTGCTTTTTAATAAAAAAGATAATTTACCTATTGATAAATTCTTAACACAAGCATGTATTTATAAACATAGAAATATTAATACTGAGATACTCAGATTGATTACCTCAAGAGAATGAGAATGAAGGAGAATGGGAAGCGAGTGCTCTGTGGACTTGTATGACATGTACATGAGAATAAAAATTATTGATAAAAATTAAAACTTGTTGATTTAAAAAACTATTGTTTTTTGGTAGGCTTTATCTGAGGAACCTAAAGAAACAGCATATATGTTCTTTTTTCTGCATTAAGAAAATTATTTTGCAATATACATATGTATTACTTTATACAAAGAATATATGGTCACTGAAGTTTTTCCGTTGAATTTATATAAATCCAGTCATGGTGTTCATGCACATGTGATGTTACCTTAGATAGATTTTAATGTAAATTATTTTATAAAGTGAGCAATCACCCATCGTTTATTATATATGTGTACTTTTACGAGTATATAAAAGAAAATAATTTAGATAGTAAGACTCTTTAAAACAAAAAAAATGCCTGCAAAATTGAAACATCTTTGATGTCAACTTCCAGCAGACTGTGTGCTTAAGGAACTATTGAACAGTAAAAGGTATTCTCATGCTAATAAGATGGAGGTCACAGTATAGAATTGATTGAAGAAATAAATATATATTGTTATGGAAAACACAATTATGGTTGAAAATGCTTGCTATCTTGTATTTTTCTCTGATTTGGCCTTTTCCCCTTCCCAGGCAGTATATGGTGCTGGTCCCCTCCCTGCTCCACACTGGGACCCCTGAGAAAGTCTGCCTCCTTCTGAGCCACTTGAATGAGACAGTGACTCTAAGTGCTTCCTTGGAGTCTCTCAGGGAGAACAGGAGCCTCTTTGCTGACTTGGTGACAGAGAAGGACTTATTCCGCTGTGTCCCCTTTACTGTGAGTACTAGCTGCTTGTCCCTCAATATGATGTTTGGTACATCATATTGAGTCATGGTGGTGGGCAGTTAGTGTTCAGTCCCAAAGGATGACTTTAGAATGTTAGTGAGAATTTTAGAAAGAGCCAAAGTGAATGAGTTTTTAGCTATTGAGGAATGAACCATGAATTTTTTTTACCAGAGAAGGGGAGAAATATTTTCATACATGCTAAAGTTTAATTTAATTCCTAAAAAAAAGTAATAGTTGTATTAGCCACAGAAATTGTATAATTAGAGGAGTTTTCTTGCTTTGTTATATAACCATCTCTGTTGCGCCAGAGTTGGGCAATGCCTGGAAACAGCTTAAACAAATACCTCATTATAGGGCAGCGTGTAACAGAACTTCTCTCTTACCGAGGGACATTAGGTGTTTTCGTCCTTGGAATATATAAATGGTTCAAGAGTCTCCAAGCAAATATACAGTACCTCTGTGAGGTTGCCCAACTTAGAATACTTAGCTCCTATATCGTCCCATACTTTTTCAGAGATATTTCTCTCCATTTATTCAGAATACACATTGTCATTTAAAAGGAGTACGATGTAATAAGTAGAATGCCAAATGAGCTATATGAGGTTCCACTGATGGCTGCACTTGCTGATATAGTTTTCATATTAATATCTACACTCTTGTACCTGGAGAAATATTCATACTTACCTAGACCTTGATGAAGCTGAAGAAGAGAGAGAAAGTAGTCATGGTTGAAGGAGTCAGAGGGAGAAGATTGAGCTGTTCCTCCGTAGCATCCTTTGTTCTTTAGCTCCCAAGGATCTCATCCTCTTCAGAGGTGGTTTTCTTCACTGTCCACATAAAGGGACCAACACAAGACTTCAGGAAGAGAAAGAGAGTATTGGTAAAGAATGATCAACATCTGGTCTTTGTCCAAACAGACAAACCCATCTATAAACCAGGACAGACAGGTATGTAGGGAAATTCCACCATCTGGGGCAACACTGAGCAGAGCCACCTCCTCAACAGGTTTTCCAGCCAAAGTCACCATTATCCTGATCTCTTGGCCCTCTGTGTTATTACCCAAATTACCTGCTTTATCATGTCTGAGACTCAACAGGGAATTTCTTTTCCAGTAAAATTTCGTATTGTCTCTGTGGATGAAAATTTTCACCCCCTGAATGAACTGGTAAGTATCTCAATATTTATAGTTTGGGTGGGTAGTGGGTGGTGGGTGGGGACATGACAGCACTCACCCAAGGCGGGATGGGAATATGCAGGAAAAGTGAGATGAAAGACATTCTTTTGGGAACCTAGATTTCAACTTTACCACAAATCTAGAGTCTTCTATAAGGCATAATAGAGGGGTAGGATGTGAGGAAGCTCTTTCCTCTTATAACAGTATTTAATCAGTCTGGAAATAGCTACAATTATTGCTCTCAAAACACTACATTAAGCAAAATGAAGATGCACAATAAAAAAGTTATGTGCTATCCAGATCCATACTCTGAAGGAGCTTATGACTAATTAAAATACCAAAGAGTTTCACTTCTTCTAAGTATATATATATATATATATATATATATATATATATATATATATATATTACACAGTCAACCCAGGTTCTCCAATGTCTTGGTTCTCAAACAATTCAGTTCTTGTCCATGTTGTTCATGAAAAAAAATGTCTCGGTTGTCTAACAAAATTGTTGGTCTTAATTCTCTACCTGACAACACTTTCATGCTGATACCTGTATGATCTGTCACATGTCTCTTTAGTAACCAAGAAGATTTAGTTTTTAAACAAATCACTTCTTAAACAGTTTTTCAGAACAAATTAAGTTCAAGAACTGAGGTTCCACAGTATGATATATATTTATACATATGTAATATACATTATATATGAAGTCTTCACTTATGTAAATTGTGTGTTCCTTCCTTTAACTAGCTTTCAATATGAAGGCAAAGAGCAAGACTACTTTTAAAAGTTATATATTAAACAATTTTTGAATTAGAAGAAATATTCTTGGTTTACTTTTAACCAAATAATTCTGGGAACTCTTTCCTATTAAGGCTAAATCATAATGATATATAACTCTATGAATATCCATTTCTAATTTATGTAAGTAAATGGTATGATTATATTCTTCACAAGGAGGGTTTTTAGTACCTAAATAATACTATTGGTGAATAATATTAATAAATTGACAAGTATTATTTAACAATAACATTTTTCAGGGAAATGATAACACAATGATTTTTAAAGAAATATATCCATGCTTTTTCAGAACTGTTTATTGATTTCCCTAAACAATTCCACTTACTTTATGTTTCAGGTTAAATTCTGATATTACAGAATTCTGATAAATTCTGTAATATCTTATTACAAATATTATTTTTGCTTACTAAGCTGTTTGATCATAAGTCTAAAATTGTAGTCTTTGGTGAAATTCTAATTATATCTCTTCTTTCATTTTTCACATAGATTCCACTGGTGTATGTTGAGGTAAGCAACAGGAAGGGTATCTTATAAGGAAGTCAGTGCATTTAAGAAAAAGGAAGTTCTGATAGTATTTTAGACAGACATACTGCTGTTAAAACAACTTTCAGATCTGCATTTTCTTATTCTCAGATGTCAGGTTCATTGTGGTTCACCTTCCTTCTGTGTGTCTTCCCTGAAGGCAATGTCAGTTACCAAAACAAAAGTCATGTATTTTGTCAAGGGCTGTCATGATTAATATTAATATTATTCCCATGCTCTTTTCTTATCTCTAGAACCCCAAAAGGAGTCGAATTGGACAATGGGAGAATCTCAAGTTAGAGAGTGGTCTCAAACAATTAGCCTTTCCCCTCTCATCAGAGCCAATTCAAGGCTCCTACAAGGTGGTGGTAAAGAAGGGATCGGGCGAATTTATACCGCACTTCTTCACCGTGGAGGAATTTGGTATGGATTCTGAAAGATAAAAGGGTCATAGCTTTTTGGTTTGTAGTATGAACTCACTTAGATCCTTTGACTTTTCCACAAGTATGTTTAACTTGGAGTAGAGTCAACTATATCTTATTCTAAGGCCATCATCATTCTGAGAACTCAGAAGTTTGCAACAACTTGCTGATTTTCAGTAGCAAGTTATACTTTGCCAAATATTAAAATTCTTATTTCAGTGGAAGCATCATCATTTGTTAACATTATTGAGATCTGTGGTGGCCACAAAGTCAACTTTTGCATAAATTGTTAAACTTAATCATTTTGAAGTTGATACTCTACATTGAAAAAGGAATATAACTTTCTATGGTATTTTTGTGGAAAAAATTATAGGCATAAAAATATTTGTACTTCCATTAAATGTTTACTAGCCTTCCTATTTTTGTTATCTCTGTCAACAGTGGTTCCCAAGTTTGAGGTCAAAGTTCAAGTCCCAAAGATAATCAGTATTTTGGATGAAAAAGTGAAAATATCCGTATGTGGAATGTGAGTTAACTTGTTTTTGTCTGAAATTCTATTTTGACTCAATTTTGAGTGATTATTTACCTACATACACAATTATAAGTTACTCTTTCCCTCAGCACTTTTTAAAACTATTATTTCAATGACTCCTCTTTATTTTTAGCATTCAATTTTTTAAGTGCACAAGAGTAGAAACACTCATAATCATGACTTAACAAATACCATCTTTCCTTATTTGCCATATTTTTTCTTTTTTTTTAATTTATTTAGTTATTTTTTAAGTACAGGTTTTTTTTGTCAATTTCTCACATCCCAGCCCCACCCCTGCCCCGTCTCCCCACCTCCCTTCCATTCCCCCCCCCACAGTCCTCATCCCTGTGTCTTTCATACTTGTTCTTCAAAATCCCTCCCCATTTTTCCCCTTAAATTCCCTTCCCTCTCCCCTCTGCTCACTGCCCATTTGTTCTCTATTTTAGTGTCTTCGTTTTTATTCTATTTGCTTGTTTATTTTGTTATTTAGCTTCCTGTTAAAGGTGAGATCATATGGTATTTGTCTTTCAATGCCTGGCCTATTTCACTCAGCATAATGCTTTCCAGTTCCATCCATGTTGTTGCAAAGGGTAGTAGCTCCTTCTTTCTCTCTGCTGCATAGAATTCCATATTTTTTTCTTTAACAATCTAGGATAAATTATAAAAATTGTGACATTTTGACATAGCTGAAACATGGACTTCTAAAGATTAGTAATATTTTATGTGTTTGGTTTTTTATTTTTTAAATGTTTTTTCTTTTTTATTGTTGTACAATGACAGTTGTTCCCATTTTCCCCCCATTACTCTCCCCTACCCTACCCATCCCCCACCTCCCACATTCAATCTCCCCACTCCATTGTCTTTGTTTATGGGTCCTTTATACATGTTCCTTAACTTGACCATTCCCCTTCTTTTTCCTGTTATACCCCTCCCCTCTGGTCACTGTCATTTTCTTCCATATCTCTGGTTCTATTTTGCTTGCTTGTTTGCTTTGTTGATTAGGTTTCACTTACAGGTGAGATCATATGGTATTTGTCTTTCACTGCCTGGCTTATTTCACTCAGCATAACACTCTCCAGTTCCATCCATGCTGTTGCAATAGTGACATTATGTAATCATGATGCCATTATCACACTTAATAAACTTAAAGGTAATTATTCAATACTAACTTTGAATTTATACTCAAGGACCCTTGATTTTCATAATAATGTCTCATATTTTCCTAAAAATGTCTTTACACATTGCTTTTGGTTATTATGACTCATATATACCTTTTCTTTTCAAGACTCTACAATGGAAACAAATAAGCAAAATAGAGCCAGAGGCATGGAAATAAACTGACAGTGACCAGAGGGGAGGAGGGAGGAGAACAAGAGAAAAAAAGGGAAGGGTCAAGTCAAGGAACATGAATAGAGGACTGTGGACGTGGAGAATGGACAGGGATTGACTGTGGGAGTTGGGGATCTGGGGCAAGGGAGAGAAACTGGGAAAAAATCAGGACAACTGTAGCTGAACTACAATAAAAAAATTTTATTGTATTCTTCCCATTACCATTTAGTTCTGCAATCACCACATCGTTGGTCATATCCATGAGTCCTTTCTCCTTTTTGCTCAATGCCTCCACCCCTTAACCTATCCCCAAACTTAGTGGAAATTTTCAATTGCATACAAAAGTTGACAGAACAGTAAAACATAACTGCATATGCCCATCACTTGTTATAAAAATTATAAAATTTGCCAATTTTGTTCCATCGATTCTTTTCCTAAAGTGTTGTCCTAATATTTTTAAACATGCCTCAGGAAATCTATAAACACCTCAAAGTTTTAAAACTCTAGAGCCTCCTTTTCCCCATAGCGTTAGCTTATTGAAAACAATGGGTCCACCAGCCTTAAATGTGCCACTTGTTCCATTTGCCTGATTAGTCCCTCGTAGTACATTGATTTAATTAATTTTGCTCTCTCTTCTAGCCAGTTTTAAAAAGAAAGGTTTGACTGTTTTGCATGGATCCTCTGGGTGCCATAAAAGAACAAATTTTTAAGCACTAAAATAATCTCTATTTTTAATTTTTGGAGGAATTTCCATACTGGTTTCCATAGTGGTTGTTCAGATTATATTGTTTACTTTAAGTGATAGTGGAAGCATTTTCAAATAGGAAAGAAAACTAATGATTCCCCCCAAAGAATTATCAATTATTTCAGTTGTATTAAAAATAAAGAGAAGTGACAAATGTAAGTATAGAGTGCACACAAACAAACAAAAATTTATATGCCCCATGATTGGTTTTTCAGGACTTTTTTTCTCTCTCTCTCTCTGTTGTGTTTGTTTGTTTATTACTTATTTTTTTATTTGTCACATAATTTCTGTTTGGTAGAAAGAGCAAGTTTTGATTTATAATGACAAAATAAAAAGAATAAGAAAAATAAATAGGCTAAAAGGAAGAAATAAAAATATCCCAGAGCAACTTGTTGTATATTGAAGTAAAGTTTCAAACGTCTTAATGGGTAATATATTGAGGCATTTTCTAGACATGTTTCTACTTGATATGTGTCTAAAATAAACAAAGTTTATTTTAACTGTAGAGAATAATTGTGCTGTACTGGGCTGGTAGTGAACATGTACATACTTTTCCTCAGTTCCTGATTTATTTCTTATGTGACAGATACACCTATGGGAAACCTGTCCCAGGACTTGCAACTGTGCGTGTGTGCCGCAATTTATATCAATCTTTTAACTGTAAAAAAGATTTCTGTGAAGAATTCAGTCAACAGGTTAGTATACAGTGTTCTCTCTAGAGACTGTCATTGTTGGCAACCAGTGAGCTACCCCATTTTACTGAAGAGCATCAGTGTAAGCCGATCCCCAAATATTTCCCACCAAAAATAAAATATTTACTCTTAGTCAACAAAATTGTCATTTTGATGACTGATTACAAATCAAATCTGAACATTAAATTTCTAAAGGTCAATTCACATGTTTAACCCAAAGTTGTCATGGCACCAGAAAGAAAAATAGCGGATTAGTGACTATTGGCCTGAATCAGTATGACATTTACCAATTCTTATATTCTTCTCAGCTCAACAGCAATGGTTGCATCACCCAAGAAGTAAACACAAACTTGTTCCATATTAAATCTGCGGGTTATGAAAAGACACTTAACGTGGAAGCCAAGATCAGAGAAGAGGGAACAGGTTTGAGTACCAAATTAACATGGGAGATAAAGCAATAGACATTAACTTGTTTCCCATAATAAAACAGGGGTCATAACAGAAGTGCCAGAAAATTAATTTTAGGACTAAAGTAACTTCAAGAGTACTTACTCTTTTCTACATATTTTTTAGAACTAGAGTTCACTGGACATGGGACCAGTACAATCACAAACACTGTAACCAGACTCAAGTTTGTGAAAGTGGATTCACACTTTAGAAGAGGAATACCCTTCGTTGGACAGGTAGAGTATATTGCAATTTTACAGGTAAATGAAGCATCTAGTTGTACCTAGGCCAAGGACACACTAATGTAGTCCATACCTGGTTAGTGTTACCAATTAATTAATATGACCAAAATCATTGAACCAAACAAAAGTAAATACTTTCCCTCATAATATCACTGATAAAATGTACAAACACACAATCCATTATTATGAGAATCAGAGGCACTGTTTCTTTGTTGAACATGTACTAATGTTCAACATTAGTAATCAAATCAAAATAATCAAAATAATTCATGTCATGTAAGTTAGTTATGTCAAACTCTTTGTGCCTCCCATTTCATAATAAGTAAGTATATTTCTGCCATTATCCAGCCAGTATCAGAATTTTAATAGCCTTTCTAACAAATGACTCTCAAGTTATGGTTGTCAGTATCTTTCTTTATATCTTTTATTCTGTTTAAAATAAGTGAATAAGTGGTTTTCATTTTAAACATTGGAATTATAATAGCGTACAGTTTATGGTTATTATTTGTGTATTATTTTCACATTCAGGGTATACTTTAAGAATAACAAAATAAACAGTATGGGAGAAAGTGGGGGCAAGTGTAATCAAACAACACTAAAAAATAATAAAATAATCATTATTTTATTCATATTAACTGTTCATTTTACCAGTTTTATAGTTATTTAGTTTTTCTCAAAAGAAATATTTTGTGTGAATTTGTTTCAGAAAATAAAATCAGGATGAGAATCCAAATTATAAAAAGGAGATGGAAAGACATGACATTCAATGCAAGGAAATAGCTTTGCAGTCAATGTAGAAAGTCTAATTCTTGGTCTTTGGTTTTTTGTGCTCAGTTAGGGCAGCAAAGAAGTTCGTTCCCATGAGTTCTACCCTCTCTCAGTATTATCCACATAACTTAGCAAGTACTTTTCTTCTTTAGGTGCTTCTGGTGGATGGAAATAATGTGCCCATCTCCAATAAACTCGTCTCCATCTCCTCAAATGTAGCCAATTATTTTTTCAATGCAACCACTGATGAACAGGGTCTTGTACAGTTTTCAATCAATACTACCAACATACTGACGAGCCAATTTTATATTACCGTAAGTATGAAAGGAAAAAAAAACTTGAGGACAAAGAAAACTCTTAATAACAGTCATGCATTCAAAAGTGAGGACGTACACAGATTAAAAAGCTGTCCAACTTGGGATAAACTTGAGGAAAATTTACTTGAAAATAATAAAGATATCAGAAAAGATATTGTAGATGTGCTTGATAATTGGATTAGAATTATTTTTAAAATTTCATGTATTATCCAGAAAACTATTGGATTGTTTTCCTAAACAATATCAGTTCTTCAATGGGTGACTCACATAATTTGTTCTATGTTCCTTTTCCACATCTACTTATTTTTTAAATAACTAGAATCCCCCTACACATACACACTTATATATTGCCTAATGAATATGAGAAAAAGATTTCTATAGCTAAAAAGCCTCCATGCTTTCAATTTCAAGCCAAAAATGGTAAAAAATACTATGATTTATTAATTCTAGCTTATATAAATGGTGTATACATTTTTTGCATTTTCCAAGATTCATCTGTTAAGTCAATTAAAAAATATATAATGATGTTTATTTTCTGTGTAATAGTTACCTATTCTTCCCTATGATTGAAGAGGTGAATACACAGTGCCCCTTTACTTGAAAATTTTCTACGAAGTTAACAGAACTGTAAATTATTAGTCTGATTTATTTAAGTGCAATAATTTTCAAAATAGGAACTTTGTTATGAGAGCAAATAGGGTCCACAAAATAAACCTAATAAATTTAGGAAAAGTATAAGTGCATCCAGAAAAGATCTGAGGAACAACTGCTGCAGAGGAAATAAGTAGAAATATCTGCTAAGCAATATCTTCAAGATTTATAGGTCCATAAACTACATAGGCCTTAAAAATAAGAAGTCACAATAATGATGAGTCATAGATGCTAATTTGCTAAGGATTATTTGTAAACAATTTTGAGACCCATAATGCAATAATATATTTGGTTTTTATATCCTCTGACTTTAAATTAAACCAATTTGAAAGAAACTCCCATTATCTGAAGATTTTATCCTTCTAATTGGGGCATTATTTTTCCTCCGGCTCTGAGCTACATGAGAGTCAAATGAGTGATGAGCTGGAAGAATCAGGGCAAAGGAGATATATTTGTAGATAACTTTTTTAATCTGTGCAAATTTAGAGGTTGACAATATGTTTAACTATTCCTTTTGGTGGGAGGCTAACATGAAGAACTTCAAGACAACAGCATAATCAATAAAAAAATTTTAAAAAAAGAACTTCAAGACAATATTAATTCTTCATTCTTCTGTTTTTAATCAGGCCTACCATGAGAAACCTGACATGTGTATTAGCTATGCATGGCTACGAGAAGAGCACATCACAGCTTTTCACATTGCACATCAAGTTTATTCTTTAAGTGGAAGCTATGTTCAGGTGGAGCCTGTGGATAGTACCCTGCCCTGTGGCCAAACACAGACTATCAAGGCACACTACATACTAAGAGGGTCAGCCATTAGGGAACTGAAGGAGCTCACTTTCTATTACCTGGTAAGATTAAAACCATGGAATGTATTTGGAATTTATCAGTAGACAAAAGTGGCGAATGGGGTTAGTAATGTAAAAATTACTTGTGCACTAACATCTTGTTTCTCATCCTTGTTTCCCTTGATTCTTTGATTTTCACGGGGTTGATTCTCTCCAGTAGAGACTCAACAACCAAAAATAGGTTGTGTGGGGAATAAAGCTGAAAACTGTCAGGCTCAAGAAAAGGTTTTGTTGGGTTGGTTGGTTGGTTTGTTGACAATTTTTCATTTCAGATCATGGCTAAGGGAGGCATCATCAGATCAGGAACACACGTGCTGCCCGTAGAGCCAGCAGACGGTGAGTACCTCCCAGTCAGTCTCCCCATTTCCTTCCCCACACACCCACCCTTACATCTCAGTGAAAATTCACAAATGAGGAAATTATTTCCATTCTCTCTATCTACTAAGAGGACATAAAAGAAATTACATATATATATACCAGCAGAATAATTTTCAGTTATTCAGATTTAAGTTGGTTTAGGTATCAGTTGGTTGTAAAATCAGATAAAGAAAAGCATGAGTGTAAGGAACTTTAACTTATTCTACAATTGAACTTGTGAAGGGAGACCTTGGCCTATTAATTTTACCAATTAACTAGAATGACATTCAAGAGATTAAGCCTTTGAATGCATAAGCATAGTTCTAAATTGGACAAGACCTCCTAATAGCATCCTGACCTATGACCATATTGTCTCATTCTCTCCATGCTCCATAAAAGGCAGTTTTTCCTTGTCCTTCCCTGTGAAGTCAGACATTGCTCCCATTGCACGATTGTTTATCTTTACTGTTTTACCAAACGGAGAAGTTATTGGAGATTCAGAGCGTTTTGAGATTGAAAACTGTCTAAACAACAAGGTGAGTGTCTTGAACATAAAATAAATAAATAGTACTATAGGAACCACCTATTTCACCTCAGAGGAAAAAGAAATGGGTGCAGAAAAGTAAAATCAATTGTCCAAAGTTTCTCACCAAATTAATGGCACAACCAAATCTCTAGTCAGCTAACACAATAATTTTTCAATTACATAAAATTCCTTCCAAATAAAGTATAATTTAATGTAGTGTCCATGGTGCTCTGCTCCATTGATTCCATTGTGTGAGGTATGTAAGATGCTAGGACTCACAAGTCTCAAAAACCTGAAGAATACAAATGCCTTATCATGAATTAGGGGTAAAAATGGACTTCTAAAAGTCAAACAAGTTATCTATCCCTGACAATCATCCATTGTCTCCTTAGGACAACACAGCTTTTCAACAGCAAAGGAAAGATGAGGAAAGAGGTTGCTTCCTGACTGACTCCCAAACATAATCATTTAAAGCAGAATGTTAGGATGACTCAAAAAATGTGGGTTTCTGCAGGATCACACAAACAAAAGTACTGGATGACTTTTACTTCATGTCTCACAGGTGGATTTGAGCTTCAGCCCAGCACAAAGCCTTCCCGCCTCACTCGCCCACCTGCGCGTCACCGCTTCCCCTCAGTCCCTCTGTGCCCTGCGCGCAGTGGACCAGAGCGTGCTGCTCATGAAGCCAGAGGCAGAGCTGTCCCCGTCCTCGGTGAGTTCCCCCAGCGTCAGGGCTTAGAGGCATCTGGTCGATGTTTCTCTCTCACATCAGTGTTTCTCTCACTCTGTCTTTTTCCCTTCCCCTCTCTCTAAAAATAAATAAATAAAATCTTTTTTTACAAAAAGAACCTTTGCGCTCACTTAAGAAAAATTTAACTGTGAGATTGCTATATCAAGGATCACAATCCTGTTTTTAATAATCAAAATTAATGTTCTTCAGAATGGAAGGTTTTTACCAAAATTCTCTGTAACCTTAATAAGTATTTTATTAATAGGTCAAAATATCTCCTCATAGCATAATAACTACACAGAAGAGAATGACCATATTTCTCTATTTGAATTAGAAGATGGCATCAGGAAGTTAACCTGAAACAAGGGAATCTTCTCTGTAGGTGACTTCTTTGGAGACATGCCTTGTTTTTCACACTCCCTATTTATGGTAGTCTATTCTAAGCTAGTTTTTCAGCTTCTATTGAGGAAATTTGGCCTGCTGCTTAATATTTTATGTCTACAATATTCTGTTTAGTAGGGTAAACATAAGTTTAATAGTTGTTCCAGGTGCATCATGAAGCTTTGAGTGTTATAGAAGTGGGAAGGAATCATGAACAAAATGGAATATTTGGGCTCTTGGAGTTCTAAAAATCTTTAAACTCGCTTGCTTTGAAGATAACTGGAAAACACAGGTTCTGCTAGTAGAGATAGGACATGCTCATTTATGTACCAGTTTGACTCTTCTACTCAGGAACAAAGATTAATAAAGAAGTTTAAAGGAGGTTTTTGTTAGCTATCTACTGATGCGGAACAACTTCCCTCCAAAATTGTTGGTTTAAAACAATAAACGTTTATTACCACAAGCAGTTTCTGTGGATTAGGAATCCAGAAGTGACACACCTCGGTGGCCCTGGCTGGCGATCTCTCATGAGACTGCAGTCCGCATGTTGGCCAGGGCTTTAGTTATCTGAAGACTTGATGAGGTTGGAAAATCTACTACTAAAATGTGTTTCTCCTACAGCTGGCGGGAAGCCTCAGTTCCTCACTAAACAGACTTCTCCATAGGGCTGCCTGAATGTCCTCATAACATAACAGGTGATTTTCTTCAGAACAAGTGACTCAGAGAAGTTAAAGCATCTTTTGCGAACTAGCCTTGGAATTCACATAATATCATTTCCACAAAAATCATATTAGTTACAGATGTCAGCCCCACTCATTATGGGAGGAACTACCAGAGGCAGAGATTATTGGGGGCTATTTGGAAGGCTGTCTGCACAGTCTACCCTCTGACTTCCAGTGACTCCTGACCCTGCCACACGTGACCCCTACCCTCACTTTTCTCCCCCAAATTTCTAAAAGGCTCATTTCAAAATAGCAACAGCTCAAAGACAGAACCTCATTCTTTAACTTGAGTCTAGGTACATATGATGTTTCTTGCATGTAGATCCTCTAGTATGGTTTCTCTAGCTATGAAGACCTTAAAAAAAGTATACTTAACAAAAGTATACAAAAGTTATTTACCACCCATCCCCCCCCAACATACAATGGTAAAAGTGGCATATTGGCACTCCTAGAATGTTTTTTTCTTTTCTTTTTTCCTATTTTTAATTAAATTTATTGATATAACATTAGCTAATAACATTATATAAATTTCAGAAGTACAACTTTAAAATACGAAATCTGTATACTCTAGTAACACCCCATCCAAAGTTTATTCTCCTTTTGTCACCTTGTAATTGGCCTCCTTTATCCTCTTCATTGTCTCCCCACCTTCCTTCCCCTCTGGTAACCACCATTCTGTTTTCTGTATCTATGTGTCTAGTTTTTTCTTTGTTTGTTTACATCATTTTTTGTCTCTTCGTTTATATCAACATATGAGTGAAATCTTACAGTCCTTGTCTTTTTCCTCCTGACTTACTTCACTTAGTATAATACTCTCAAGATCCACCCATGTTGTCACATATGGCAACATTTTATGGTTTTATATGTCTGAGTAACATTCCATAGTATATATGCCCCACATCTTTTTTTATCCAATCATCTGTTTAAGAACACTCCTGTTTTTAAAAGTGGGGGAAACAGGAGGTGCACAGGAGTTACTGATCCACAACAATTCTGAGATCCAGTCAAGGAAATGTTGGAAGTTCTTTGATTAGAACTTAGTCTTACTCTGGAAGGAATAAATAACCAGGCCTCTTTCATTTGTCATCTGTTCTATTGAATAGAGATGATATATAGTCACTTATGCACCTATGTGATTCTTCTATCCAAGAATAAAGCTAAATAGAATTAGAAGCTTAACAGATGCCAACAATTCCTACCTAAATTTCTCAGGGCCTTAACGATTCATCTAACCCAGAAGCAAGTTAGGTCTCCTTGCTATATCTGGTCTAGTTTTATTTCTAAACTTTACAGTGAAGTGTTCATTAATCCTTGGTAATTTAAGATATTGTTCAATGGAAGTATTTTCCTAAGTATGTTTTACATCTTTAGAACAAAAAACACTACTAAGCTAAACAAATGTTTTATCCTGAGGTACTAACTACATGAAGGTACTCAGAAAAGAGATGACAACTATCATTTTTCTCAGTTCACTAAATTTTTCCAAACAAAAGCAGGTAAAAATTCTGTTTTTAATCTCTCCACTGCTACAGGTATATAATCTGCTCACTACGAAGGACCTTACTTATTTCCCTGAAAATTTGGAAGATCAGGAAGAAGGACCAGAACGCTGTGGTTCTCCTTATATCATTGGTCAAGCAATTTACACTGAAGAAGATATCTATAGCTTTCTAAAGGTAAAATCCTTACTAGTTATTATGAGACTCTGAATGTTAGTAAAACTTTATACATATATATAATTTTTCAAATTATTTAGCCTGACAGTAAGTCAGAGCCAAGGCAAGATGTAATCTCTGTCATTTCACTGAGATACTTTAGTTATATTGAATTATGGAATTTTTAAAAGGTGATAAATTACACAATTTTAATAAGCCATAAAGCACTATAATCTTACCATTTTATATTTCTTGTCCATGGAGCTAATATAACAATAAGGCTATTGGAATTACGTAGAAAATTCTAAGGAAAATATATTTCATGCCATCTAGTCAAGTTTACAAATTTATTGAATTGTCATTTTTACAGGGCATGGGATTAAAGGTGCTCACCAACTCTAGAGTGCAAAAACCACAGTCGTGTTCAGAGACTTACCACTTTGTAACAGCAAGAAATCCAGGACAGCCTGTGTTATATAGAGGTAAAAAGAAAAAGTTGCTTTTAATTAGGTGTCACATACAACAATAATACTTTTTGAAAACAAAAAAAAGTACCATAAGATATGTATACTTACAATGCTTCTTGCGGAGATCAGTTAGCTGGGAAATAACATGGCCAGAACTGATGGGAGTTTTTCTGTCTGTCTGTTTTAGATGAGTCAGATATTTCAGGGCACAGAATCAGCTGAAATACAAGATTATAATACACTATGAGGGAGGAAAAACAAGTTTATAATAGAAAAATGCAATAATTCTAATTATGAAATCAGAAAAGATATTCATAGAGATGCTTTACCTAACAGAATAGAAAGGAGGAGACAAAGCATCACTGGTGAAAAGAAACAATGTAAACATGGCAGAAATATCTTATAACCCAGGGCCAAAAAACACCAAAATAAAATATCAGTGAAGAAGCCCTTTCCTAGGCCCTTCAATTTCTGCTTAGACACATTTGTCCAGTCTCCAGGTAAACTTGTAGCAGATCAGCCAACACTTTTTCATCCCTCTCTTAGGGAATTCTGGTTATCCTTTTCTCTAAAATATCCCCCATGTCTCTCTGTTAGTAAATATTAATATCTTTTGAGTTTGGGATTATGAGTCAGAGGTACTATATGTGACGTGGGTGTGTCATGCCTTTTTTCTAAGCCTCAAATCCTTCATTAATAAATCAAAGCAATTTAAAGGCACTGCAAGACATTTCAAACTATGCACTAAAATAAATACCAGGTATAAAAACAAATAAAGAATTTTAACTCTTTAAAATTTGTTTTTCACGTTCCTTGACATCGAGTTTATTATACTAACCATGTGATGTCAATACCCATCTACAAACCAATCCTATCGTGAAGAAAACAATGCTATTAGCTCACTTTTAAAAGACCTCGGACAGTTGTCTCCAAGTATAACCTTCAACAGCAAAACCAATTCCAAACAGTTTCTTAGTAATGGTAAATATGATTTTTGTCAGGCAACCAAGATGTTTTATAAATAAGAGAGATTAAGGAAAAAATAATCATGAATGTTACACATAAATAAATTTGAGCTAATACCATGAAAGTTTAAGGGAAAAGAAAATTTTCTGGAAGTTGATAAGAAAAGAATTTTAGGTATATAATATAACTCAGAAAAAATAACTTCTAAAATGTATGATGAATACACAAAGGACATTGAAATGAGTAGATATATAAATGACTCAGGTCTATGAAGCAATGGAAAAGCCAAGAAAAATAGGATATTTTGTGAAAGTTCTTGAAAATAATTTGAAGAACATAAATCTATTCCCATGACTATTTGGGAAGTCATCTTTCACCTTCAAAGTGTTTGATGGCAGCCCTGGCTGGTATAGCTCAGTGGATTGAGCGTGGGCCTATAAACCAAACAACCGAGGTTCGATTCCCAGTCTAGGGCACATGCCTAGGTTGCAGGCCAGTTCCCAGCAGGGGACATACAAGAGGCAAGCATACATTAATATTTCTCTCCCTCTCTCCTTCCCTTCCCCTCTAAAGATAAATAAGTTAAAAATCTCTTTAAAAAGGTGTTTGATGGCAAAGAACAGTAAATATGGAGAATATAACTTTAATAATGAGTGAGAGAGAGACAGAGAGAGAGAATAAGGAAAAGGCAGGTGGATCTAAAAAGAGTAAAATTATGCTGGACAATGATAGAAATCATTAGTGCTTGGAATGGTAAAAACTAAGGTACGAATATGAAAATTATTATTACTCATGTGTTCAGTAAATATTAATTGAATACTTACTGGCCTAGTTTGTGGACATATAACAAATATTGAGAAGAAAAATCTTCAGTTGTATGAAAGTTATATTTTAATGGGCATAAAGAGAATGTAAATAAAATAAGCAAGTAAATTATACAGTTTATTAGAAAGTGATAGATTCTATGAAGAACATTTAAACAGAGAATAGAGTGATCAATGAATGTCTCATTCAAAATTTAATAAAAGAGAATAAAATTTTAGCAAAGATTTGAAGAAGGAGAGCCAACTAAATGACTACTTGGAAGCAGAATACTGCAGCCATAAAAGGCAATTCCAGTAATAGAAAATACCTGCAGAGTGCTTGTTAAATTTTAAGAGATTAGATTAAATAGATAGATGATAGATACATACATAGATACATAGATGGACAAGATAGATAATAGAATTTTCTTAATTCTTACAACAAACCTTTAAGGTAAGTGTATATTTTTATCACCATTTTTTGTTGTTTTTTCCAGCTTTATTAAGATATCATTGACATACATTGACACTAAATTGTGTAAGTTCAAGGTGTACAATATATCCATTTGAAATGTGTTGTGAAACAACTACCACTGCAGAACTAGCTAACATCACCTACAACTGTAGAGCTCTATCACTTCACCTATCACCATGTCTTTTTGTGTGGTTATCAGCATTTTTGAAACAAAAAAAACTGAACCCAGAAAGATTAAGTAACTCAGCCAGTAAATACACGGAGGAATGGGGATTCCGATCAAGTGGACTCCAGGTCCATGTTTTTTTAACTACCACACTATTCTGCCTCTCCAAGGCTCTAATCTATAAGGCAAGAGATTGTCTGGAATATAAAAAGTGTGAAGAAGCCAGTTTAGGAGGAACCCAGTAAATAAAGTGAGAACACTTGGAGAGAGAAACCAGAGGAATAATTAAGGTCAGATCTCGTAGGGCCTTGTAGATCATTCATTGTAAGGATTTGACTTTTTGCTGTGAGTGAGATGGGGGGACTTGCAGAAGAGGAGCGACATGATCTAATGTTGCTACGAAGGATCATACTAGACACTAAATGTAGAAGAAAATAACTTTTATACTTTTTGCCTCAGAATAAAAAAGGTCAAAAATGAATGCAACTATTACAGAGCTAGATTAGATGCTTCTTTTTTAAGCCGTGAACAGAACATCCAGTTGAATGTATTTTGTCATCAGCAGTGGAACAGATGGTAAGTGGGTTACTCCAGGGATCAACCCATTTTAATGAAGTCGGATGGGAAAAGGAGGGGGAAAAAGATTTTGTTTTGGCAAATGAATTTGAAAACATTTAAAGTGGAATTTATTATTGTAGCATGAGGAAGACTCAAATTTAACATAGATACTGTAAAAGAATAGGTAGAGAGTCAAATTGACATTGAGAATAAGAGACAATAAGGGGGAAATAGCTGTCAACCAATAACTGAAGTTAAAATAACACATCCTGCCATGGTTTGTTAACTGTAATAGCTGGAGAAGTTTGAGAGTCTTTGATGTCAAGGGGGTGAAATGGGAAACAGTTCGATTGCATGCATCATCCTCTTATATACTTATAATTAAAAATAAGAGTAAAGACAGAGATAATAGACCATCAGTGAGACATCAAAGTCAGGCACAGACATGGCTACCATTTGACATAAAGGAGATGAGGAACAAGGACCTGATGGGAAGAAACTGTGATATTTATTAAAGAAATTACCATTGATGTTTTTAACAGTTGAGAAATATTCAGGGGAAATTCCTGGAAATATGCCTTCTCTTATCAATATTTTTCACAAGGTAATTCTGAAATATAAGAGGGGATACTTGAGCAGAGAACCTAATCAATACTCAATTTATAAGAATGGTTTTGGGCACAACACGAACCAGTAACCTTTATGCTTAACCTCTCCCTTTTGTAAGTATTTTCCTTGCCTCATCTATAGAGCTATTCCAAATGGAAATATCTCTTTTGACATCTTGAATTCTTCATTTCTCCTTTCCATCAAATAAGTAGAATAAAATCTAATGATCTAGCCTTGTTACCAAGAGAGCAATGAATTTACAAGCTTCAATATAATATACAGAATTGATATTATTAAATTCTATTCACTTCATTGGTAATTTAATTTCCAATATAACAACCACTCGTGTTGCCCAAAGAGAGTTTTACCTTTTATGATCAGCTTTTCTATGCAGAAAACAGTACTCTCTGAAAACCCGCCATTTCCACCACAAGCGAAAATACTATCTGTAAGTGATCTTGTTCTTCCAGCCTCCATTCACATAAAATTATGCTATCTCTAGGATACATAGAATTTCTACCTTTAAAAAAAGAGTGCTCTCTGCCCAAATAACATGGATTCAAGAAATTATTTTTAAAATTCTACAATTCTTAGGAAAACTGAAAATTTGCTCTAAGTCTCACAGACACATACACCATAAAATAATGGATGCTTTTTCCCTAACTAGATTATTATTTTCTCTTATTTTGATAGGTTCAGCAGGTGTAGGGGGTCCATATAGTCCTCAACCTGCTGCATATGGTATGACGCTTGAAAATAGTATTCAAAGTCCAGAGCCAGTCTCTGAAACAGTGCGGAGTTATTTTCCTGAGACCTGGATCTGGGAGTTGGCGGTGGTGGAGTAAGTAACATTCTCTCCCCCATTTGCTATGGGTGAAGCTATATGGCCCCTCCAGCATTTTCAACTCTGAGATAATCTGTCTTGGAAGTTTCACGTAATTGCTTTAACCCTTTACCCTTTCATGGGAGACCTAAGAAAAACATATTTATTGTATAAGATTGCTAGTATAATTATCTCTCAGAGCTGAACAAGTCTAAAATAATTATTCCTGCCAGAAAACAGACAAGGGGGGCTATAATATTCCAATTCTATACTGCCTAATGCCATCCAGAAAGCCTTTCATAAACAAGATTAGAATAAGCCTATAAACAAATCAGGTTATATAAGTACGATGGTTTATTTGTTGGATCATGAATCTTAAACACGCTTTATGGGATTGTCCAATAATGAGGGTATCTTAAGGACCAAACTGAATCACATTCAAATATTTCTTTTTAAAATACACACATGTAATGTAGCCATAGACTGGTAAGGGAAAGGTATAGATCTATGCCCATTTAATCCCTTTCCGTTTCCCACCTCAGTCCCCAGTATACACATGCACCCTTGCACGGGAATCCCTGAGTGGATTTCATTTAACAGTCCCTTCATGCATATTAATTCTCATTTGAAAAAAAAGACATTTTACCTGCTTACTTTCTGTTCCTCTCTTTGCCGTCCTCCCCAGCTCATCGGGTGTGGCTGAAGTGGGAGTAACAATCCCTGATACCATCACTAAGTGGAAGGCAGTGGCCCTCTGCCTGTCCAATGACACTGGACTTGGTCTCTCTCCTCCCGCCTCTCTCCGAGCCTTCCAGCCCTTCTTTGTGGAGCTCACAATGCCCTACTCTGTGATCCGTGGAGAGGCCTTCACACTCAAGGCCACTGTCCTCAACTACCTTCCCAAATGCATCCGGGTAAGCAGAAAATGAGGGTGAGTTGAAAAGGCAGATGGAATTTCTTTAGTCAGTCAACTCCTGATTTGCTCCCAAGACTGGAGAATTGGATAATTCTAGGAATTATGAGCTAGCACTGCAAACAAACAGTGCCAAACAACTCAAGACAAGATCTGAAAGATAACACAATGACACGTGAGCTATAGGTACTGAAAAACCATAAATCTCCAACCCACATATATTTTTTAAGTATCCTGAATCTTGCAGAATCCTGACACAAGATAAACTTCTTGGTGGAGAATTCTCGATGTTGACACAAAGATCAGTTTTCTTAATTTCATTGGTGTCATTCTTTAAGCCCTCATCTCTGCACTCCCACAATATGTACCTTTAACTTCTCTTATAACACTTGTAAAAGATGTCATATTTTGTGAGGACATTATCCCTTTTGTAATACAATGCCCTCTAGGTAGGAACCTTCCCTTCAAAATGTGCTATGTCTCATATAGAACAGACACGACACATATTGGAGGAAGTAGGAGAGGTAGGAAGAAAATCTACAAGGAGCTAAGAACCAGCAGATAGAACCCAGGACACAGTGCTCCCGGGGGCAATATCTGCAGATGTCCGTGATCTTCCCTAATCTAAGTGCCAGCTCCTCCTACTAAAGAATCAGTCTTGATTTGTGTCATTCCTATGTTCATGCTTCTCAAAGCATACATGAAAGTCATATTTTTTTCTTCCAAATTCTAGTTTAGTGCAACATCTCAGATGTTGCCTCACTTCTGTGCATTCAGTGTCTCTCCATATTCTGATAACACCTATCTTTATGCCTCACTTGTGGATGATAGGTCAGAGTGCAACTGGAAGCTTCTACAGCCTTCCTAGCAGACCAAACCACAGAGGGAAAAGAGTCCTACTGCATCTGTGTAAATGAGCGGCAAACCGTGTCTTGGGCTGTAACTCCTAAAACTCTGGGTGAGTGAGGTTCCTCCAAACTGTTTGCCAATCAACAAGGGTGCTGGATCTCTCAATACTGCTTACATCACATTCTCTCTTTTGCTACCCAAATCGGCCCCCTCCCACTACTCCCATGATATCTGGGCCCCGCAATCACTCCACTTGAGCATTGGCTATTCTGCATGCCTTAGCTTTGAGTTTTTTGTTTTGTTTTGTTTTCAACTTTCTTTCCTATTACAGCCAACTGTAAGGTTAAAGTGCAGCCCTTTAAGATCATGACAGAGCATAGTCCTTTTCAGCTATTAGTGATGGCTTGGACTGCTGCCAAGATGAATGCTCATATTTTCTACATTCTTTTTTTAGGGAATGTGAACTTCTCAGTGAATGCAGAGTCAGTGCAGTCCCCGGAAATTTGTGGGAACGAGCTTGCTGAGGTTCCTGAGACAGGGAGGAAAGACACGGTCATCAAGACCCTGTTGGTGGAAGTAAGTCAGTCTTTGTCACTTTGACATAGTTTTCTGAGCCCCTAACAGTAGTAACAATAAAACACAGTATGGACATCCTTGAGATAGCAACGGATAATTATTATCATGTTCACACAATTCATCTGATAAGACCAATGGAGTTTCCTACCATAAAAGTATGTAAGAAACCTTGCTAGATAAACTTGTTAGCTTATTGGAAATAGTTATTTAATACATTATGTGGACCCTTTCCCTTTTGTTGATCTCTACCTCTCTTGTAAGGTCCATATATTTCTCACACCTATATTACATTTGATTCTCTGCTCTTATTACGTGTCATTTTCCTCTCAGCCAATATCCCAGGGTGTTCAATGCTTCATATATTTAGAGTAATTTGATAATAAGGATGTTAAACATCATTTAGTGTAAATACTGCTCTTCAAAGCAATGAACCTATGGTTGTCCCTCAGTCCCCTCGATGTTTATCCCTCTTCTCCATTTTTTTCTTTTCACCCAAGCCTGAAGGTATTGAGCAAGAAAAGACCTTCAACTCTTTGACCTGTGCTTCAGGTAAAAGTCCATCTTCATAATCATTGTGAGAACAACCCCTCACCAGGGTATATATTTCAAGTGACCATGCATGTTTATATATCTTGTCTCCCATGATTTTCAGAATGTTTTATTCAATTTGGCATAATACTGAGTATTTTTATATGCTTTTTATAAATAGGAACACCAAGCCCAAGAGAGTGGATTAACATGGCTTGTGGGTACAGAAGACTAATATTGGGACTTGCCTGGTTCAGTTTTAGGCTCACTGCCACAGCCCTGTGGCTGCTCATTAACAAACCAGGATATAGAAGCTTAGAGAATAACAGGACTAGGTAGAAAGAAAGCAGAGTCCTGATAAGTTCAAATCACAGTTAATATTCTTTAAAATAGTTAACAACAAAACATACAGTGCTTCCTATGCATTTTATTAAAAATGTGTTTCTCATGGCAGAAAAAAACAATAAACAAAAAAAACCTCCACTTTGGACTGGGACTTCACCATATCATTAAGAAACAGTTGTAGCTTTTCAGTTACATTGGTACATTAGGACTAGTTCTATGTCCATAGTATATACAACAATGTTATTGTCATTTGAGAAGGACCAATTTAAGGCATAAAATCAGACACTAATAAAGTCAGAGAATGACACAATCGATTCAGAGAACTACAGATTCCCACCAGCTCGTAGCATTCTTTTAGGGAGCTACTGTGCACAGCAACCGAATATGGCAAAGTGAGAGGAAGAAGACTCAGAAAGTCACATCGTGCCAGGAAAAGCTGGGCTGTTAAAGGCAATCTCACTGCAAGTCAAAATTCTTATTCCTTGAATACAGGTTTCCTCCAAAAGACATAATAATGCTACTGCTAAATGTAATGGTAACAATAATAATAATTGTTCACATGTTTTGAGATTAAAGATGTTGCAGAGGCTTTTCATATTCATATGTGTTCTCTATGTCTTATTTCACTGAATCATCATATGAGCAAGTTAGACCAGGAATAAGTTAAGCAATCTCTCCAAGGTCTACAGCTAGTAGGTGGGAGGGCCAGTGTCATACTGAGGCCATGTGGCTCTAAAACCCCGTTCCTAACCACTGCATTATATTGCTGTAACAGATGGAAATTGTCTGTTTCCAAAGGTACTGAAATATCTGAGCAATTATCCCTGAAGCTCCCAGAAAATGTTGTCAAAGAATCTGCCAGAGCCTCTCTGTCAGTTTTGGGTAAGTCTTCTTGCATCTAAGAAACTTGGGACAAAAGAACTGCCACCATGCATCTTACCTATATATTTATGTTCCAAATATCAACTTATTGATAGTGTCTATTTACATAGGGTCCTGGAAGGCCCAGTCTCTCTAAATACAAGTTTTTCCTTACCTACATGTTAGAGTATATGATTTTCAACATAAAAATTGTTTGTCTTTAATAATGTTGGCTACATATGAATTTAAATTACTCTGATATTTAATCTCACGTTCCCCAGGTGACATACTAGGTTCTGCTCTGCAAAATATACACAATCTGCTCCAGATGCCCTATGGCTGTGGAGAACAAAACATGGTCCTTTTTGCCCCTAACATCTATGTGTTGAACTATCTGAATGAAACCCAACAGTTAACCTCGGAGATCAAGTCTAAAGCCATTGGCTATCTCAACCGTGGTAAGTGAGACAACAAAGTTTACTGTGTTACTCTAGTGAGTTTTCCTCACTAAGTGTGTGATCTATCACCAGATTTTAAGCTAATGTGATGATTTTCGTAGAAATTAAAAGTTTTTCACCATCTAATAGGCTGTTGCATTCTGACATATCCATAATAGCCGTGAAACTGGGACAGATCCTATACGTGAACCTGTGAAATGTCAGTGGCATCTGGATACATCAGCCTGCACCTACAGATATACCCTGCCTTTCTATAATACTTCTTAAATTATTTGAACCTTTTTTTTCCAGGTTACCAAAGACAGCTGAACTACAAACATCAAGATGGTTCCTATAGCACCTTTGGGGAGAAACATGCCAAGGAGCAGGGCAACACTTGGTAAGAAAATAAAATCAGTCTGAGTTTCAACCATGAGTTCAAAGTATGTACATAGAGAGGGTAGGGCAAAAAAGTAGATTTACACTTATTTGTATGGAAAATAATACAATAATTAAGAATAACATAAGAATAAACTTTTGTGTACTCGTTACTGTAAATCTACTTTCACCCAACTCTGTATATTAGCCTATTTAACTTTTATGACAATCCTGTGAAGTGAGAACTATTAGCTTCATTTTACAGAGGGGGAAATGACATCCATTGTGGATAAATAAATGTCTCTAGTAGAAACAATGAGTAAGTGACAACACTGAAGAGACTTTGAAGTTGATTTTTTTTATAGCCAACATACCAAGCCTGTCTTCTTTCTCATGTTGCTGAAGAGCCATAATAAGTTTGTGATCTTCCCTCACAAGTTGTTGATCAGTGCTGAAAGATGATAAAATTGGCTAGAAAAATATCAGCCATTACTCACAGTGTGTATTTTACCACCTTCTACTGGATGACCCTCTGTCTCTCTATCTATCTATCTATCTATCTATCATCTATCCACCCATTATTTCATCTACCTATCTACCCATCCATTCATATTTTTATCTATTCATCTTTTTATCCATCTATTTTTCTATCTGTCTGTCTATCTATCTATTGTCTATCTATCTTGACTACGTGTGACCACACACACACACACACAAAAAGAAAAAACCAAGAGTAAACCAAGGACCCTAAAAGTACTTAAGAGGCAGGATGATGTAGAGGAAAATATTTACTGAAGCAGAACATTAGAAGTCAGTCCAATAGAAGGATAGCTGCAGAATACAAAGTAAGACATCAGTGGAAAGGAATAAATATAGAAAGTACAGAATGTGAGAGCAAATGTCTTAACCACCCAAGAGAACTGGGAGAAACCTAAATCTCTAAAGTGGTGCAGGAATGCTTTCAAAAGCAAGAATTCTTGGCAGTGCATTTAACAATGTGCCACAGGAAAACTATATATGGATACAGATGATAGAGATAGAAATAAAGATAGCCAGGTTAACAGAAAAAGTTTCCAAACTGAGTAACAGCTTTTTGATTCTCATGAGGGTGAATGGGGAGGAGATGGGATCTATGTGCTCAAAACAGAACATTAAGGTGCTGTATGAAAAACGTGGTCTTAGCATTCCACTCCTCTTCACCCTCAGGCTCACAGCTTTTGTACTGCAGACTTTTGCCCAGGCTCGAACTCACACCTTCATTGATGAAGGACATATTATCGAAGCCCGCACCTGGCTGTCCCGAAAGCAGGAGGACAATGGCTGTTTCAGAAGTAGTGGGTCGCTGCTCAACAATGCCATGAAGGTAAAGAGTTGTGAGTACTTATCCTAAACTTCACCATACATCAATATTAACATTTCTCCAAGAGCGAGGGAGAAAGACAACAGAGAAATTGCAAAGATGAAGTCTGAGGTAATGTAAGAGGACATCCAGGAAGGAGTATTAAACCTGAAAAAAAGAATTATAAAGATAAAGAAATGGTGCTTTGCATGAGGGTGTTACTTTGTTTGATAGAAAACATACTGAGGACAATTTGAATTAAAAAAAAACAGGAGAGAATACACTAAAATTCAGAAGTAGAATTAGGAACTTCCTCCAAGATGAAGACATAGGTGGAGGAACCACCTTGCCTCTGTGCACAACCAAATCTAAGAACAACTATTTTTAACAACAATCACAAGCAAGCCACACGGAAAATCGACAATACGGAGTCCAAAGACAACTAAATGCTCGGCTAAATCGGTAAGAGAAGCGAAACCAGCAGCGGAGCAGGTTGGCAAGAAAAAAATCCCTGAACAGTGGTGCGCGGCGCTGATCGCGGGCTGGCTACGCACAGGGAAGAGGCGCGGGGGCTGTCTCAGTCGGTCGCGCACATCTGCATCTGCGTGCGGAGAAACCAGTGAGAAGGGAAGCCTGCGCGGGGCAGCAGGCTCGCACAATTCCGATCGGATAAACAAGCCCAGGGCGAGTAGTGTGACTGGACGGGCTGGGCTAGCAGAGAGGACCGCCATTTCTCCCTCTCTGACCCCGCCCCCACATATAGTGTCACAAACCAGCGACCTGGGTCGCCCCGTCCTGGTAAACAACTAAGGCTTCGCTCCTATTACTTAACGGCACGAATAGACCAAAAATGGCTCTAGGACAACTCAGAGCCCCAGAACCCATAGATCTAAGTGATGAAGAAATAGCCGGTCTTTCAGATGCACAGTTCAAAACACTAGTTATCAGGATCCTTACAGAACTGGTTGATTTTAGTCACAAATTAGAGAAACATATGGAAGCTAAACTAATTGAAATGAATGGTAATACAAGGGAAATCAATAGTAATGGAAAGAAAATTGGGACTCAAATCAAGGGAGTGGACCACAAGGAAGGAAAAAATGATCAAACAGAAAAGAATGAAGAAATAAGAATTCAGAAAAATGAGGAAAAGCTTAGGAACCTCCAGGACATCTTTAAACATTCCAACATCCGAATTATAGGGGTAGCAGAAGGGGGAAAGGCACAGCCACCAGTGGAAAACTTATTTGAACAAATAATAAAGGAAAATTTCCCCAAATTGGCAAAGGAAATAGACTTCCAGGAAATCCAGGAAGCTCAGAGAGTCCCAAAGAAGTTGGACCCAAAAAGGAACACACCAAGGCACATCAGCATTACATTAGCCAAGATTAAAATGAAGGAGAGAATCCTAGAAGCAGCAAGAGCTAAGGGAACAGTCACCTACAAAGGAGTTCCCATCAGACTGTCAGCTGATTTCTCAAAAGAGACCTTACAGGTAAGAAGGGGCTGGAAAGAGGTATTCCAAGTCATGAAAACCAAAGACCTACAACCAAGATTGCTCTACCCAGCAAAGTTTTCATTTAGAATGGAAGGACAGATAAAGTGCTTCTCAGATAAGACCAAATTCAAGGAGTTCATCATCATCACCAAGCCCTTATTATATGAAATGTTATAGGGACTTACCTAAGAAAAAGAAGATAAAAAGATGAACAGTGAAAGGACAGCAAACTCACAGTTACTAACAACCACACCTAAAACAAAAGCAAACTAAGAGGACAGCTAGATCAGGAGCAGAACCATAGAAATGAAGATCTCATGGAGGGTTAGCAACAGGGGAGTAGGAGGAGGAGAAGGGGGGAGAAGGTACAGAAAATAAGTAGCACAGACAGTAGATAGAAAATAGATAGGGGGAAGGGTAAGATTAGTAGGGGAAATACAGAATCTAAAGAATTTGAGACACGTGTTCATGAACTAAAGGGGGAAATGGTGGGGGAGGGGCATGCAGGGTGGAGGGGAATGGAGGGGGGGAATAAAGCAAATGTAATGGCATAATCAATAAAAAAATAATAATTGAAAAAAAAGAAGTAGAATTAATCGAGTACAGTTAATCAAAATTCTCTCTCTCTCTCTCTCTCTCTCTCTCCCCCCCCCCGTTTACAGGGAGGAGTGGACGATGAAGTGACCCTCTCTGTCTACATCACCATTGCTCTTCTGCAAAGTGCTCTTCCAGTCACTGTAAGACCCACCTCATTCCTATTTCCTGCCTTGAAAACTCCAGACCTGATGTTTGGAATGCTGCCCTAATAAAAGCCAAGTCTCTTTGCTCAATCATGAGGCATTTCTCAGCTAGATGAGCTCTTCGGTCAGTCCATTAAGGGGAATTTATACTCATGCAGTAATGCCCTTGGACTATGTACTAAAACTAATCTAAAACATGGGTTCTCCACCCTTATTTTTTGAGAACTAACTATAAAGGTAAGAGATTTAAAATGTTTCTCAACTTAAGTGCAGTGGATACGTGCTTGCTCCATCCTCTGCTTACCCTAGTTTGACACCATCTCCTCTTTGTCTTCACAGCATCCTGTTGTGCAAAAGGCCCTGCTCTGTCTGGAGTCTGCCTGGAACACAGTGAAGGAGGGGACCGGAGGAAGCCACACTTACACCAAGGCGTTGTTGGCCTATGCTTTTGCCCTCTTGGGAAACCAAGATAGGAGAAGAGAAATACTGAACTCTCTGGATAAGGAAGCTGTGAAACAAGGTGAGAGCAAATAGTAAAAACAATTTTTTCTTCCACTTACATGGGTTCTTTAAGAAGAGGAGGAGCATATTCCTGCTGAAAGCAACAAGGTTTGTCTTGAATTCTTTAGCCAAGTCATGTATTTTGAGATCAGGACACCTTTTATAAAAATATCTTGTCTGCAATTGCATATGTTATACCATACAGATAAAATTCTGCAGCCAAATTATGGAATTTTGTTCTTACCTGCTGAGACCAAAATATTAAACAAATATTTATTAGATATGCATAGAAAGAGACAGGGAAACCAACACCGGTACTGACATGGGCCGCCTGTCTGGCAACACATGGAGCTCACCCAGCTGAGAGAGCAGCTGTGTGCCCCAGGCACTGGGTCTCTGGGGACCCAGTTCTCTGAGCTCCTCCTTAGCACCCCCCTCCACCCATCAAACTTCACATCTTACTCCAGACTTGCTCGCTGCCTTGGGAGGCCCCGCTTCCCTTCTCCTCAGGCAAGATGCCCGTCTTCAAGCTGGTGACCAGCACAATGCAGTCCAACAGCCACTGGCACCTGGATCCAAGGTGATCAGTGCCCTGCTGGGTGAATTCTGCCACACCATGCATGTGGGCCAGGCAGAGGATGCCTTTGGGGACGACACCTCTTTCCTCATCAACAAGGTTAGTGAGCTGGACAATGAGTCCCTGGATGAACAGGAGTCCTCCTTATCATTCCAAAGTAGCTGCCTGTCTCAGAAGTTTCTGGGCAGCTAGCTGTGGAAGTTGGTGCTTCCCCAGAAGATAAGGGTAGATAAAGCGCTTCCCAGATAAGGTCAAGTTAAAGGAGTTCATCATCTCCAAGCCCTTATTATGTGAAATGTTAAAGGGACTTATCTAAAAAAAAAAGATCAAAACTATGAATAGTAAAGTGACAACAAACTCACAACTATCATCAACTGAACCTAAAAAAAAAAAGTAATGATAAGCAAACAACTACAACAGAAACAGAATCACAGAAATGGAGATCACATGGAGGGGTTATCACCAAGGAGGGGGAGGGGGAGGAACAGGGGAAAAGGTACAGGGAATAAGAAATATAAATGGTAGGTACAAAATAGGTATGGAAAGTGGAGAAGGCAAATAACTTATTTGTACAAGCCATGGACATGAACTAAAAGGGGAGTGCAGGTGGGAGGGTGGTGCAGGGTGGAGGGGGAAAAGGGGCAGAAAAAAATTGGACAACTATAATAGCATAATCAATAAAATATACTTTAAAAATATTTTAATAAAAAATTTAAATAGAAAATATAGAAATATATTTTTACATAAGGGCCTACACACTTATATAAAAAATGGTTGAACAAAAACCCATACTGAAGAAAGTGCAATACATTTTCAAAGTGATTCTATCTCATTTTTGTGAGATAAATTATTGCAAAAGTCCTCTGAGATTAATATATGTTTTATTTTTATTTTATTTTCCAATTACAGTTTATATTTAATATTACTTTATATTAGTTTTAGGTGTATAGCATAGTAATTAGACAGTCATATACTTTACAAAGCAGTCCCACTGATATTTCAAGTGTCCTTCTGGTACTGTACATAGTCTTTAAAATATTGACTATGTTCCTTATGCTGTACTTTACTACCCTGGAACTATTTTGTGACTAAAAATTTGTAGTTATTAGTAGCTTCATTTTTCTCACTATCCTCTCAACACCCATCTCCTCTGGCAACAATCCGTCTGTTCTCAGTATCTATGAGTCTGTTTTCATTTTGTTTATTTGTTTACTTTGTTCTGTAGATTCCACATATGAGGGAAATCATACAGTACTGATCTTTCTCCAACTGACTTATTTCACGTAGCATAGTATTCTCTAGGTCCATCCATGCTGTTGCAAATGGTAAAATTTCATTTCTTTTTATGGCCGAGTAATATTCCATTGTATCTATGTACTACAGCTATTTTTATCCACTTGTTTGTTGGTGGACACTTGGGTTCCTTCCATATTTTGGCTATTGTAAATTATGCTGCAATGAAAATAGAGATGTATATATTCTTTTGGATTATTGTTTTGGTTTCTTCAGCTATACTCCCAGAAGTGGAATCCCTGGGTCATAAGACAGTTCCATTTTTAATTTTTTGAGACCCCTCCATACTGCTTTCCACCATGGCTGTACCAGTCTTCATTCCCACCAACAATGCATAAGGGTTCCCTTTTCTCTACATCCTTGCCAACATTCTTTTGTTGATTTATTACTAATAGCCATTCTGACAGGTTCAAGGTCATATCTCACTGTGGTTTTGGTTTGCATTTCTCTGATGCATAGTAATGTTGAACATCATTCCATGTCTATTGGCCAACTATATGCTCTCTTTGGGGAAATGTGATGAGTAAGCTTTATATCAATTTATACTCCAATTCCCAGGAAATACAACAAACAATTAAAGAATGCTGTCTGTCACTTTTCTTTTCTACCAATCCAATATATAAAAAAATTGAGAGATTGATCAGTGTGCACTATGGTTATTCCTCCAACAGCAGTCTTCACCTTAGGCCCACAGGACTAAACCAAGTTCAGCAATGTAACGTAAGCTAGTGGGTTTTAAGGACTTATGACAGAGAGGACCTTACTTTATCTTGATATTGTTTTCTATATGATATGAATGCATATTCACTTATTATCTACCAGTAGTTATAAGTCTCTCTTTTTCTTACCCCCAAGATAACTCAGTCCACTGGGAGCGATCTCAAAAACCCAGGGCAACAGAAGGTTATTTTTACCAGCCCCGTGCACCCTCTGCTGAGGTGGAGATGACGTCCTACGTGCTTCTTGCTTATCTCACTGCCCAGCCTGGCCCAAGTTCAGAGGACCTGACTTCTGCATCACACATTGTGAAGTGGATCACAAAGCAACAGAATTCTTATGGGGGCTTCTCCTCTACCCAGGTTTGTGCTTCCCAAGTAATCTCTTCCAGGTTCACCTGGCAGTTAGGAAGCTTGAAAACAGTTACAAAGGAAAGAGAAGATATTAAATAAATTATTAAAACTTGGAAGAATTATTTAGATATTTGCAACCAGTAGGAAAATAAAGGAAGAAGACCTGAGACATTCTCCCAAAACAATTTTCACTAAGCTCTATGCTATCCTATCACTTTGGCTATTTAACCATAAACATCATTCCTCTCTAAAGCTGTATTATATCATTAGCACACATTGGTTGATGGCCATGCTACAGACCAGGGTTTCTAAATATCAACACTGATGACATTTTGAATAATTACTGTTGTGAGGGGCTGTCCTGTCCATTGGAAGATGTTTAACAGCCTCTTGGTCTCTCCCCACTAGATGCCAGTAGCACACTACTTCCAGTTGAAACAAGACAAACACCAACTCTTGTCTTGAATAAGTGTTCTAAAGACTACCTCTTTAGAGTCCTGCAAGAGACTCTCTAAGGTGGACCAGAACATTGTATGGTTAAAAGGAAAGTGGTCACATAGACCTTATTTTTATCTTCATAGAATGATTAACAAGTTCTATTCAACCACTCCAAGGAATTCAGACTTTCCACTCTTTTCTAACTACCCTGAGACCTCCCTTTTCACTCCCCCTTTAAATTGATTGCTTTTAAGCTGATGCTTTTAAATTATTTTTCCCTACCACAATTTTGAAAATATTTTGTTGAGTGTAAAAATGTGTTAAACATCCATAGAATCTGAGTTGTTCCTCTTATACATCCTCTTTCAATATTTAGGATATAGATAATGAAACTTGTTTTTTTTAGGGATATTACATGGGACAAATAAAAAAACTATATAATGGGAAAAGGAAACTTAGGAAAGTGCAACTTGTCTTTTACTACACTTTTTATTCACAGCCAATTTTTCTCATTCTCCCATCTAAACAACCATCTAGTAAATGACAGTCACTTTTTTTGTCTTAACTTTTTCATTGTAAACCTATACTTTGAAAGATGTAGAAAAGAGATCTATTGATGCCAAAGAGTAGGGCACAACTGGGTACAGAAAAAGTCCCAAGGACAACACAAACACAAGTGAAATTAAATTGTGAGGTTAATTTACATCAATAATCCCTTACTTCATTTGGAGAAACTATAGCATGACTTTGATTATGCCTTAAAGGCAGAGAAAAAAGAAAAGCAATTAAGGGGGAAAAATAAGTGTCCCCTTGTGATAGCTAACGCAGACTTTTGAGGAAAACCCCAGCCACCAAAAACTTACGTACTGGGTGTGGGGTTCTCCACTCCTCTCTTGCAGGACACAGTGGTGGCTCTCCACGCCCTGTCTAGATATGGAGCCGCCACTTTCACCAGGAGTCAGAAAACTGCTGAGGTGACCATTCGTGATTCACAGACGTTTTCTACTAAACTCCAAGTGGACAGCAACAACCTCCTGTTACTACAGCAGGTCTCCTTGCCAGAGGTGCCTGGGGAATATGTCATAACAGTGACTGGAGAAAGATGTGTGTATCTTCAGGTGAGACCCTGGAGTTATATGGAAAAAAGTCAACTTTAACCTCTTCTGTCGAAAAGGGAGTAGCCCAAGACAATGGAGAAACTAATGGTGCCCTTGGTGCTCCACAGACATCCATCAAATATAATGTTCTTCCTGAGAAGGTGGACTCCCCATTTGCTTTGGAGGTGCAGACTCTGCCCCAAACTTGTGATGGACACGAAGGCCACACCAGCTTCCAGATCTCACTGAATGTCAGGTAAGACCTTCTCTATGTGAAAAAAAATTTAATTCTGTAATTATGATGATAAGTGTTCATTTAATTTACTGTAGTGATCATTTTGCAATATATACAAATTTTGAATCTTTATGTTGTATACTGGGAACTAATATAATGTTGAATGTCAATAATTTCTCAATTAAATTTTTATTTAAAAAACAAAAAACCTTCTGATTGAATCTTCTAATCCTGAGATCTAAAAGCTACTTGGAACCATCAGTAATTAATAATGTGTTTGGAAGTTATTAGATAAATAAAAATTCATATACCTATTAAGGAAGTTAGTTTTTTATCATTGAAATTATCTTTTTCTCTAGTAAAATGTTTGTTAAAGTTTCAATAATTCTTGAAAGTATTTAAAAGCAATGTCTAAAGTTTGTCAATAAAAAATTTTTATATGTTCTAATCGATTCTGACTTATCTTTTACACTAATTTTTATTAAACATTGATAAAGAATAAATTACTTTCCTCAAATATTTTTATTTTAAGTTGAAATAAAGCTTTCTTACCCCTTCTGAATTATTATATTCTATTATTTTTAATCAAATGCTATATAATAAATGCTAATATTAAATACAGAGTATAAGTTATGTATCACATATAGAGGTTGCTCTATCATACACCATCAAAAAAACTTTACAAGGGTCCTGAGAAAACATAGCCCAAATGATATTGCTTTGTATGTAATACTGACATCAATATTATAAAACAAATGATATTTCAGACAGCCAAACCAATTAAACATCAGTTTAATTGAAGTATAAAGCACAAAAATCTATCTAACCTCACATTTTGGAAGACTTGATACGTTCTGAAGTTAACTGAAAATATAAATTAAGATATATCAGCCCTGGTTGGTGTAGCTCAGTAGATTGAGCACAGGCCTGAGAACCAAAAGATTGTGGTTCGATTCCCAGTCAGGGCACATGCCTGGGTTGCAGGCCAGTTCCCAGCAGGGGCCCATTCCCAGCAGGGGTTGCATGAGAAGCAACCATACATTGATATTTCTCTCCACCTCTCCTTCCCTTCCCTTCTAAAGATAAATAAATACAAATCTAAAATAAATAAATTTATTTTTAAAAAATTGAGATATATCAAATAACAAGTAAGAGGAGAAATGTATTCAAAAGCAGATTAGCAAGCTACACACTCAAAGATTCTGTTTTGATGGTCTGGGACTGAGGCTTGAACACCTGTGACTTTAGTGAGCTGTAGACCTGATGCACATACAGGATTCTAAATGTCAATATCGCACCTGTCCAGGAAACACAGATCCCTGTACGTAATGATCTCAGGGAAAACTTCATGAAGATGGACAAGTTTATGGTATATCTTGAAGGAGGGTATCTGGCTTCTTTCACATGATAGGTCCTAACGCCTTTTTTCTTTGGCACTACAGTTACAGAGGGAGCCGCTCTGTCTCCAATATGGTGATTGTGGATGTAAAGATGGTATCTGGTTTTAGTCCCTTGAAACCAACAGTAAAAATGGTAGGTGGATTTTAAGCCTAATAGGTCTCATATAAAAAGATGCTCTGTATATTTAAACTGAGACCATACCAATATCAAATCCCTGTCAATAGCACCTTGCCTCAAAAAGTATTTTTCCCCAAACCCAGAAAATTAAATTCATTAACTATTTATTTGGCTCTAAGCTAAAGGACCTCTGTGAAGCTAAAGGACCTTTGTGATGCTAGAGAAATACAAGGGGAGTCCCTATCTTTCAGCCACTCATGGTGTAGCTAAAAAATTAAAGCACATGGGCACAAGACAGCAAAATAACAAGCCAGAAAGATAGACTAGGATTCAGTACCAAATTGATATTCACAAAAAAAATTGTCAGCAATAAAACTAATGTGAGCTAGAATCATCAAAGATGCTAGAAGTTATAATAGGTCACTTGGATATTGAAACATAGTGAAAATCTTGACCTGAAAATATCTGGCTTCCTTCTCTTGATAGAAAGCCAAGTTATGCTTTTCACAGTCAAGACATGACAATGATGAAGCTCATTTGCAAAATGTGATTCCTTCTCCTCACCCATCTTTTGCATGGTTAATGCACCTTGACTATCTAACCTTGAAGATGACACATAGACATCCTAGCCCTCACAGTATTTAAACAGTAAACATTTGTTCCTTATTACTCTGTCCTAGGTCTGTGTTCTCATATCTATTGTCTAACTTTCTGAGTTCTCTAATTTTCTTCAGCTTGAAAGATCTGCCCATGTGAGCAGGACAGAAGTCAGCAATAACCACGTCATCATTTATGTGGAAAAGGTGAGAGCAGCTCTGGCATTTCAGCCAAGACTACACACATCGTGGTCTTTCTAAGTGGGTCTCTTCACTAAAAGATAAGTAATGTGAGCAAAACAATAAGTAGAAGCTCCATTGCAGGAAGTTATTCTATTCTAAAGAGAATAAAAGGTAAATTTCCTTTTAAATCTACAAATGTTCTGCTCTTTTTTAATTATGTTGCAATTGGAATATGAGTATTTCTATGATTTCTGGTATAAAATCAATAGAATAAAATGCTATCATGTGTGTTATTTTAAAAGACCCACTACAAGCCCTGGCATATTTGGCTCAGTAGATTGGGTACCAGCCTGTGGACTGAAAGGTTACCAGTTCCGTTCCCAGTCAGGGCACATGCCTGGATGGCAGTCCAGGTCACCACTTCAGGTGTGTGAGAGGCAACAATCAACGTTTCTCTCCTTCTCTTTCTCCCTCCCTTCCCCTCTCTCTAAATATAAATCAATAAAATATGTATATATATAAAAGACCCATTTTAAAAGAATAAATAAATATACCACTGTGGTTAATTAGTGATAGTGTTAATACCCTAATATATTACAATATAAAATTAAATTAAATGTAGATCTCATGAATATCTTCAAATTCAACTGGAAAGCCAAGGGAATGGCTTTACACAAACAAAACACACACACACAAAGTCGTTTGGTATTATAATTACAGACAGTACAAAGCCAAGTCTCTGCATCTTAGAAAACATTCACATAGACTCAGAGAGTTAATTTCTTACAGAGGACTGCAATAGCATATGAATTGTCTCAGTTGTTTGGGAGAATATCTGGGAGATTTTGTTCACTAAAGAGTTTCAAGGTTGCCTTTTAAACCCATCTTGACACCCACAAATGTTTGTTTACCTGAAAGACACAGGTGAATAAGAGTCAGAGAACAATAAAGAATATGTTTTACTCAAGTGAATAAGAGTCAGAGAACAATAAAGAATATGTTTTACTCAAGGAAGAAGGAGGAGGATTTCTAGCCCCTTTATTACTCCACTTTTCCTTTTAGGTGACAGATGAGACACTAAATTTTTCCTTCACGGTTCTTCAAGACATCCCAGTAAGAGACCTAAAGCCAGCAATTGTTAAAGTCTATGATTACTATGAGACAGGTAAGTGAGAGAAAATGTAGACAAATAGTCCCAACCCAGAACCAAGAAACAGATTCCATTATGACAATAAATCCTGGTTTTAGACCATTCAGTCAATATATCTATTTGTTTCTTTCCTCCAAGATACATACAATAGAAACTACCTATGAACAAAGTTATCAATTACTATTTATTGAGTCAGAAACTTAATAATTTTATTTAAAGAAAAATATCTAGTGACTGCTCTCAAGTAGTTTAGAGACATGGAGAACATAGTACACATGGAAAGACAGTTAATGATGAATGAGTATTAGGGAGCTAATGGGTAAGAAGTTGGGGAAGTGAAAACAGCACAGAAGGCTAGTACTTAAGATGGACAAACAAAAAAGAAAACAGAAAGCCAAACTAAGGCAAAAAGATCTGCACTGGATCCTAACAGATGAGAACATCTTCTAAAGTAAATAGAAGTAGGAAGTATTTTAGGCCAGAGCAATCATCTTGGAAAAAGGATTCAGAAAACAAGCTGGACAAAGTGAGTAGAAGCAGAGTTCGTGGAAGAGGAGAGCTACAAGCTAATGCTTAGGGCATCTCCCTAAGAATTTAAAATTTGAATAGTTGCTCTCTGAACAGGCTTCAATCCCTTTCCTCCACTCCAGAGGAGGAAAAATATAGATATGTAAACTATTCTGTTCAACTCTGGTCTATTTAAATGGTGTTTTGACAATCCTGGTATGGATATAGATTGTCAAAACTCCATTTGAATAGACCTAAGAATCCTGAAACACCAATTCAAAAGAACCTATGCACTCCAATGTTCATAGCAGCACAATTTACAATAGCCAAGTGCTGGAAACAACCTTAGTGCCCATCAGTAAATGAGTGAATCAAAAAACTATAGTTCATTTACACAATGAAGTACTACAGAGCAGAAAGAGAGAAGGGGCTCCTACCCTTCGCTACAGCATGGGTGGAAATGAAGAGCATTATGTGAAATAGGTTGGGCAGTGAAAGACAAGTACCATATGATCTCACCTTTAACAGGAACCTAATCAACAAAACAAACAAAGCAAGCAAAATATAATCAGAGACATTGAAATAAAGAACAAACTGACAGTAATCAAAGGGAAGGGGGGAGGCAATAATGGGAGAAAATAGGGGTAGGGCCATCAAGGAACTTGTATAAAGGACACATGGGCAAAGCCAAAGGAAGTAGGTTTGAGGGTGGGAGGCAGGGATGAGTGGGACATGGAGGAGTTGAGGTGGGGGGGAAATGGAGACAATTGTACTTGAACTACAATAAAAAAAAATCCTGATGCACTTTTTGTCAAGAATAAAGTAAATAGACCTAATATGGCCTTTGGTTTATAGATTATTTTTGTTTCTCTCTCCACCTAATTCTTTCAGATGAGTCTGCTGTTGCTGAGTACATTGCCCCCTGCACCACAGGTAAGGGGTCACATGCCATAACCAACATCATACCCCATTAACTTCGCTCCCTAAACATTCTTCTAAATTTAAAATTCTTTACAAGTCTCCTCCTAGATCTAGAGAGCCCTGAAGAAGAGTACTTATTCTGTAGGTGGACTCTCCAACTTAAGATATCCATTCTGTTATCAGAAAAGTCACTAAGTTTTATTTGTTTGTAGGATTGCCATCACTAATGAGCAACATTTCACATCACAGCTAATTGGTTTTCTTCATCCCAAGGGCCAACTGTTATGATTCCTTTGCTTAATCTAACCCAACACCTATTTTTGTAAGTGAAGTTCTATTGGAACAGAGCCCGACTCATTATATCACTAGTTTCTATGGCTGCTATCATGAGTTGATGATATAAACCATATGGTCTGCAAAGCCCAAAATATTTAGCATCTGGCCTTTCACAGAAAAAATTTGCCGACCCCTCCTTTGGCCCACAGTCACTATCCTGACTCAACTAAGGGAGTATTCCTGATAAAGGCCACGTCCCTTTTATGTTTCTTTTCCCACCATAGGTGCAGAACAAGGAAATGTTTGAGGACCATATTTAGGCGGTTTCACTGTCCTGTGCTTCTGTTTAGAAGAAATCAAGTTGTTCTTTTCTGTAAAGCAGACATCAAAATGGCTTATTGAATAAATATATATTTCTGGTCAAGCCATTATTTGTTCCATCATTTATTCATTAAACATTAATTGCATGCTTACATAAGAGTTATGTTTTTTAAATAAGGTATATAAAGAGTACAAATTTGTAACATATCTGCTTGTATTCCAGCTGTGAATATAACATATAAAGTCAAATAGACAATAACAGAAAATAACGTATGCTCTGAAAGACCTTAGGGAAAAAATCATTCAATAGTCTAGGAAGCTGGGGAGAAATGTGCTGACTAGAAACTAGGGAGGCAACTTCCGGCCAAGATGGAGGCATAGGTAGACACACTGTGCCTCCTCGCACAACCAAAATAAGGACAGCAAAAAATTAGAAACAAAATAACAACCAGAACTAACAGAAAATCAAACTGTATAGAAGTTGGACAGCCAAGGAGCTGGAATAGACACTTTCATCCAGACCAGTAGGCAGGGCAGAGTCAGGCGGCTGAGGGAGAGGGGTGGTAGCACAGGAAGCAGTGACACCGGGCAGGCACACAAGGCACCCCAGGTCTGCAAGTGGCGGCTGGCAGACCCTGGGCACAGGGTGGCAATGGCCAAACTCAGCAAGGCGGCGATTGTGAAGCAGGGAACCATGCACAGGGCGGCTGGCTGACTGGGCGGCAGTCCCACAATTGTGCGAAGATAACTGGGGAGCGAGACAAATCGTGCAACCCAGGGTCCCAGCACCCTGGGTTGTAAAGCCTCAAAACACCAATTGAAAACACCTGTGGGGGTTCAGGTGCAGGGAGAGACTTCCAGCCTCACAGGAGAGTTCATTGGAGAGACCCACAGGGTCCTAGAACATAAGCAAGCCCACCCACATGGGAATCAGCACCAGAAGTGCCCAGTTTGCTTGGGGGAAGTGGCAGAAGGGACTGAAGTCCAACAGAGAGCAGAGCAAGCTCTATTGTACCCTCGCAGACCCCACCCCCACATACAGCATCACAACCCAGTGATGTGGGTTGCCCTGCCCTGGTGAACACCTAAGGCTGTGCCCCTCATACATAACGGATGGGACAAGACAAAAAAAATGGCCCAAACAGAAGAACAGATCAAAGCTCCATAGCAAATACAACTAAGTGATGAACAGATAGCCAACCTATCAGATGCACAGTTCAAAACACTGGGGATCAGGATGCTCACAGAATTGGTTGAATTTGGTCACAAATTAGATGAAAAACTGAAGGTTACACTAAGTGAAATGAAGGAAAATTCACAGGGAACCAATACTGATGGGAAGAAAGCTGAGACTTAAATCAATGGAGTAGACCAGAAGGAACAAAGAAACAACCAAACAGAAAAGAATGAAGAAACAAAAATTCAAAAAAAAAAAAAAACGAGAAGAAGCTTAGGAACCTCCAGGACATTTTTAAACGTTCCAACATCTGAATTATAGGAGTACCAGAAGGGGAAGAGGAAGTGCAAGTAGTGGAAAACTTATTTGAACAAATAATAAAGAACTTTCCCAATCTGGCAAAGGAAATAGACTTCCAGAAAGTCCAGGAGGCTCAGAGAGTCCCAAAGAAGTTGGACCCAAGAAGGAACACACCAAGGCACATTGTAATTATATTACCCAAGATTAAAATGGAGGAGAGAATCCTAGAAGCAGCAAGAGATAAGGGGACAGTCACCTACAAAGGAGTTCCCATCAGACTGTCAGCTGATTTCTCATAAGAGACCTTACAGGCAAGAAGGGGCTGGAAAGAAGTATTCCAAGTCATGAAAGGCAAGTACCTACATCCAAGATTGCTCTATTCAGCAAAGCTTTCATTTACAATGGAAGGACAGATAAAGTGCTTCTCAGATAAGGTCAAATTCAAGGAGTTCATCACCACCAAGCCCTTATGAAATGAAATGTTAAAGGGACTTATCTAAGAAAAAGAAGATAAAAAACGTGTATAGTAAAATGACAGCAAACTCACAATTATTAACAACACCTAAAACAAAAGCGAACAACTAGAACAGGAACAGAACCACAGAAATGGAGATCACATGGAGGAATAGCAACGGGGGAGTGGAAGGAGGAGAAGGGGGGAGAAGGTACAGAGAATAAGCAGCATAGATGGTAGGTAGAAAATAGACGAGGAGGGCATGAATAGTATGGGAAATGTAAAAGCTAAAGAACTTAAGACACATGGACATAAACTAAAGGGGGGAATGTGGGTGGGAGAGGGTGTGCAGGGTGAAGGGGAATGAAGGGGGGAAATGGTACAACTGTAATAGCATCATCAATAAAATATATTTAATTTTTTTAATAAAAAAAGAAACTAAGAAGGCATAAATATTTCTTCAGAGAAAACAGAAAGCATTTGTCTTTGTCCCTAAGCTAATAGAATAAAATGGACTTCACAAGAGACTAAACTGATTAAAGTTAAACAATGTGTTGGAGACAGACAGCATTATGCAGTGGTTTAAGTCTAGACACTGGAGCCAGACTGTCTAGATTCTAATGCCGACTCCATCCCTGTCTCACCAGTTGAATGACTAGGGTGGTGACTTAGACTTTCAGCTTCAGCTTTCTGACAAAGAAATGGGGATAACAGACCCTATCTCAAATTATTCTGAGGACAAACTATTTTATTGATAGCAGGGAAAGAGAAGAGCTAGATCAAGCAATGGCGCTTAAAGCTTCAGCTCAGATGAGATGTATGTCACATCCATTTACAATTCTATTGGCTAAAGCAACTCACATGACCAAGCCTGAGTTCACTATAGGTTTGGGGCAGTGTGACTCTTCCCACAAGGAAATACACAAGCCTCATAGCAATGTAAAGAAATATATAGTTCTCTTACAGGAACAATAGTAAATAATTAAGAAAAATAATACAATCACAGACAGGTAAAGTACAGATATAAATCTATTCAGTTGTCCCAGAAGCTTTTATTAAGCAGTTCATCTCTGGCACACAAATTTGAAAGACCACTCTTATCATACCCTACAGCATAAACCACATTCCCACATGTTCTCCTGGGCACTCCTGGGACCTTCTAGTCAGTTTCTTTGGTCTCTCTGTGTGTTCATGTACTAGGACCACACTTTCAACTATCAAAGCTTTACAATGTATCTTAACATCTCAAAGGACTAGTTCGCACTTACTGCGTGTATTTTTCTGAGTTTTCTCTGCTATCTCCTTATTTATTTTTCTATGTAAACTTTAGAATCAGTGTCTCTAAAACAAAAGTTGTATAAATGGTAATGGAGAGAGACTTGGGGTGGCGAACACACACTACAGTGCACAAATGACGTGTTGTAGAATTGTGCACCTGAAACCTGTATAATTTTGTTAACCAGTATCACCCCCAATAAGTCAATAAAAAGGAAAGAAAATTAAAAATATATAAAAATAAAACAGAAGTTGGATATTTTACTGGAATCTTCAAAAATATATACATTAGCATAGGGAAAACTGTCAACTGTTTTAACATTGACCTCCCTGTCCAAGAACAAGGTGTTTTGTTTTACTTTTAATTTTCATTTTTTCAAGTCTTCCTGTGTGTTTCAGTGCTATTTTAAAGTTTTTTTCATATAGAATATACACATTTCTTGTACTCTTTTTTAGGTAGTTCATTGTATTCTCATTGAAAATGTATGCGGGGGTCTCTTTATAAACAACTACTTATGAAAATATTTATTATGGACTTCTGTTTTATTAAGATATAACTGATATACCAAAATATGTACAAATATTGATGGCACAGCTTGATGAATTTTTACTTAAGATTAAACCTTAGAAACCATTTTCAGAATCTTAGGTCCTTGCATACCTGTTCTCAGTCAATATTCATCTCCACACCCAGGGTAATGAATATATTCTGACCTGAACAGCCATAGATTAGTTGTGCCCATTTGTAAACTTCATACAATAGAATCATGCAGAATGGATGATTTCCACAAAACCATGAATTTTGGCCTGGGCCAAAATTTAACTTTAAAAACTATAAAGGAGCTAGAAGAAGACAGAATAGACATATTGTATAACTTATTATTTTACCTAACTATGAGTTTTTATATTGTCAATTGAAGCAACACAGTTTTTAGTTATGAAATGAGTTTTCCGGGATAGAGGAGAGGCTGGAGCAATAGAGGGTATGCCTACCATGTACTTTATGGTGGAGATGACTAGATTCAGTAGAAGAAGCTTTGAGAATAGCCATTATTGGAGCTAGAAAGCCAATTTGTGAGTCTTGATGGCTGAGGGTAATTGGACACAAGTACTCTTAAAATGAGGGGAGGATATTTTGATAAATAGAGGTAGAACAGTTTCAATTGTTTTATAATATCTGAATGAGTTCACCACTCAAATTATATGTTGGAGACAGATCATTTGTGTTTAACTAATGAACTACAATCTAATCATGACACAAACACAGACAGAGTAAGGAGTGTGGGGGAGCAAACACACATGGATGACACATCTCCCCACCCCTGAGGCCAGCAGTGTGGAAACTGCTCTCCTCGGTCTTCTTGTAGACCAGAGTGAAATGACAGAGCACTTCACCATGAAAAACTTGAGAGAAATCTTTAAAGATAATCCAAGAAAAAATCCAAATTAGAATGTGAGAGAGAATTTGATAAGAAACAAGGGGTTACTCAATCATAGGGATTAGATGGGACAAGAGGAGCCACAGGAGGCCCGGTCAGCCAGAAGCCTAAGAAATGCTCTCCCTAATCCTGACCATGTTTTTATTTCATCTTCATGTTTTCCAAAGAAAAGAGAACAAACTGTGTACTATTCCCCTTTCCTCCAATGATGTATGCAGTACCACTTATTGTTATGCATTTTGATCCCTTTATCATAAGATTAAGTATTGCTGATCCATTTTCACAAGAGAAATTGAAAAAACAGGAACGGAGATTAACATATTTTTCCAATATCTCACTGCTTCTAGGAAAGCAGTCGTCTCTTAATGCTAATGCTCTTGGTAGAATCCTGGGATTAAAATTCCAGATTTCCAGGACCACATTTTTACTTGCACAAACAGAAAAAAAATTACCTGCACAGGGTGGTAATGACATTAGCATTACGGACCAAAGAAGAAATTGAGGAGGAGGGTGATTTTATCACTGTCCTATAAGAAAACCATGACCTGGGATCCTACCACCAGAAAGGTCTGCATGTTTTTATTCAGTAATGTGAGGTTGCAGAGATAGCTGAGAATGAGAATTCCCAAAATTATAGTAAGACCAGCCTGTTCTTCCCCCTCCCTTTATCTTTTTCTTTCTTCTATTTTTTCAAAAAAAAGAACAAAGAAAAAAGTTACAAACTATAATTTAACTAAAACTACACATGCTCCTGTTTCTTTTCCCAAAATAAGTGAAATATTTGTTTTCTAAGCTTTCGTCCTTGACTAACGTGGAAGGATAAGGTATTAAAACATTGACTGGTGTTTTGTTTTTACTGACGAAAAGGATTTGGAAAGAATGTGATCTGTGCTGATTCTGATCCTCTGGTATTTTTCCCTTTCCTATTTCAAAAACATAGCCAAGCCCTTGTGTTCTTTTGCCTTACAAATTTTCTTTTTTTTTTTTTTTTTTTTTTTTTTTTTTTGCCTTACGAATTTTCAAGGTTAGAAGCAGAGATAGCTTAAAAATAACTTTGTGAAAGCCCTGGTTCCTTGAGCAAATTATTCTAAGCTCTCCTGAAAAATGGAAAGAAACCCTTTATAGGGAACGAAGAATGGAAGTCTCAGTGGCAGGAAGAATCCCAAACCAGGAGGTGAATGGAGGTTTGTAGGACCTGGGATCCTGGGGTCTCCTTCATCATTGCACCCGGAGGACATAACAGGACCTCCAAGTTAAATCACTGTGTGAGGCAGACTCTGGGTCAAGAACTCCCAAAGAGGGCAAACATTCCTGTGTCCAAAAGAAGCCATGCAACCAGATTTCAAAGTAGTCAACAGGTTGGACAGTGACATGGTGATATTAGGAGTAACTCGTTTCAAGCAAAGACTAAAGCAATCTTACAAAATGTTTTGCTTTACAAACGCAGTGTGAGGAAAGCTGTAATAAAACCTAAGATCTAGGCACCGAGACAAAGAAATATGGCCCAGATGAAAGATCAAATCAAAGCTCCAGAAAAGGAGCTGAGAATCTAAGAATTCTCTAAAGTCTAAAATTGTTCAGTTAACCATGTTTTCAGATCATCTGAAAATGGAAAGGACTCATCCAACTTTTAAAATCACCTTGTTTTCCTTAAAATGCTTTGATTTATGGGGCTTTTTATGGTTAGCAGTCACAAGGCTCAAATACAAACATACACAGTGAAAAACCATCTTCTCACCCTTGACCCTAATTTACCCACTTCTCACTCTCACTGACCAACCCCCCATCCAACCAGGCAACTTTT